TGGACTTCCATGCAATATACCTTAAAAGGAAATGTTGAAGTGCAGCTATAATGACAAGTTCAAGCCCAACACTTCCTTTGCAAACCTTATGCTAGTTTTAAAATCCATTCTTTTAATGAATATATTCACTGCATCTGCTTATTTATCCACCTCTCTTTAATCTCATAGTTTGGTTGAAATAAGATTATTTACAATGTTATTTTACAGACAGTATTTAGACATGGTTTACATACAGTATAGACGTTGAGCGATTTCAATATTTTTGTGAAACAACATGCTCCAATGATACAATATTGTAATCTTTGTACTTTTGCAAGACATCCCCGTGGAACAGTTTTCTGATTCCTAAAGATAATTCACCGTTCATTTTGAAAAAAGGCTTTCTAGAAGTAGTCGTTTTTTATAAAGTCGATGAGGTCTGTCACTGTTCCATTGTCAGAAATGTACACTGTATAGTAGATGTATAGTACAGCTGCTATACTTCAAAACGCAACAGGGCTGTGAGAAAAATTCTTATGAAAATGTACGCTTTCCAAGGTTCTGTCATTTTCTGCTGTAAGGTGATAGTTTACTTGTCGTTTCCCTGATATAATGACGTTTGCCACGACAAAGGAGTAACAAAAGGACAAAAGAACGATCTGTGCTCTGACAAAAAAAAGCTGCAGACATAAATTTCTAGCTTTAGAATGTCACAAATGACGGCACTGGGTCAGGATGTATGGAAAATGTTCTGGGTGGAACTGGGAAGTACAACCTGATTAAGAATGTGAACTTTTTACTCTTTGAATCTACGCATTTGCTGGATCAACAAACTAAAAAGTGGGAATGGAAAGGGGCAAAAATAAATATATTATTACAACAAATAACAGACATACTAACTTTTTTGGGGAATTTGTTGATAATGTTTAACAACCATTTCTTCTTCTTCATGGTGCTGTATGTATGTATGTCTTGTGGGTGTGTTTTATTGGATCCATACTTTCATAAATGTAGGTTTTAGTATCTAGTTTTGAAACTTATTTTAGTGACAGTTTTCTGCTTTTCACAACTTACTAAAACCCTAGTATTGGTTAGACTGATGATGTGTGGGTAGACCTACGTTATTGGCTCGTCTGCTTTGCTTAACTTTCAAACCACAAAGTATGTAGAAAAAAAGAGAGGACCACCCTCACTCAGCCAATCAGCTCTCGGTATGCAAAATATGTTTTCTAAGAAGATGAAGACAGCCTGATGTGAGGTTCGATTTGTTCACAAAATATTACTTTTACAAGCGTCTGTCTCTTATTTATTGACACAAGCTAACCTAAACAAAAAAGTTAGGTACCATAGCTTTAAAAAGTCCCACAGTATGGCGCTAAACACGTTATAAATGTATTGATTATGCAACGTTTTTAATTGTTTAAAAATTAAAATGTGTAGTTAATGAATGCATGATAATGGAGTATATGTAGAAAGTATATGTGAAAATCCAGAGACCTTAGAAGCTAAGCAGGGCAGGGTCTGGTTAGTAAATGATGGGAGACCTGTTGAGTCACCTGGTGTGAGTGTGAGTAAATGATTGGTGGTGGTCGGGGGGGCCGAGGGCTTCTGTCAGTGTGCCCCAAGGCAGCTGAGGCCACAGTAGATGTTATTTAGCCATATGTATGATTTGACTGAATAACAACATCTGAAAGCTTCTATAGACGTGAGAAAACGCTTTATAAAATGTATCCATTATCATTATTACTATTCATGTTGTCAGATAAAAACCTGTTTACTTTTGTCAAACAGAGAGACAGCCCTAGATTGAACCTCCTAACTTCTAAAAAGGGAGATCAAAGTTGTAAAAGTCAAATATTCTCTTTGAGTCACAGCAGCAGAACCGCAGCCAGGGACCCATTTCCACATTATAATCCAAAAGCGTGCGTGAGTGACTGCAACATCATATCAGCACGCCCAAATCCACAGCAATGAGCCGGGATAAGATCTGCGGCGTTCTTCCTCTCTCCTTCTGAGTCGCATTTGGAAAATCGTGTGTGCCCGTTCCACGCTAAAGTTCTGGCGCGCTCGAATGAGATATGTGCGCCTGATTTGTGTGTGTGAAACGTTCGCACAAAGCTAGGCGGCGGCAATCCTATTAGAAAAAAAGAGAATGCAAAGCGTAACATGTCAGAATGTGATTTACATCGCTGGCATTCAATTCATCTAAGCAAGGGATGTTCCTAATTTACATCCAAAGTCATTATGCCCGCCTCACACCCTCTCTCTCTATATTTTGAGGTTTTCTCTCTTTTCACGAACAAAAAAAGCGTATCGTCCCCAAAAGGCTTCTGTTGTGATTGATGGCGGTGCATGTCTATTCTGCCGGAAGCTCATTTAGAAGTCATTAGCCTAAAAGAATGCTAGCAAATGCACCATGAGCCCCGACTCTCAAATCAGAGTGTTGTCTCATTGTGTGCCCAGGTTAGTTAGAGCTATAGAGATTAGGTGAGCAAAATAGATTTCAAATAGACTTTCCAGTTATGTTTTTAAAATCATGCTTATTATGATTGCTAAATTAGGTTCAAAATAAGTGGTTTGTGGGAATATTTTGTCTACCTATTTGGAGATTAAGTTGAGAAGAATTTTCCGTTTTGTTGGGATGACCCTGGCTGACTCCACTGACAAGTCGAGTATGACATGTGGGCGACATCACGGCTGTTATATATGGGGGTGTCACTCACTTGTGTCCGTGTGTGTATGCATGGTTTATTTTCTGTCATCTTGTTTCTGTTTAGTGTCATCAAATGTCCTAATTGTACAGTCTATTCTCTCTGTCTTTTATTCCCCATGTGCTTTTAGTGCTCTGTTAATTTAATATTGTATTGTATATTATATTGATTTGTTTGCTTGTTTGTTATTCAAATTGTGAAACAATTGGAGTTGCCTTTTGTACAAATTGTGCATAACAAAAACACTGACTAAAATAGGACTTAATGCAGTAAACTTTAGATTTACACGTGAACACAGGTGAATTTTGTTCAATTGTCTGTAACTCAACTTAAAATAGTCAGGCCTTTCATGAGTCTATTATATTCATTTATCATTTTAAGTCAAATTACACAAGTGAAAGGATGTTTAAATGATATTCTGGTTTTCTGAGTTTCACCTGTATATAGTTTTTGTCCATAAATATGGTCCACTTGGTCAAAAGAGGTGGCTGAAATAATAACATTGTGTGAGAGAAAGCAACAAAAGAATTCTATTTGGTAAGAATGGTAAGAATAGTGGTGCCATCATTTTGAAAACATTGGTGGGTTAGTGAAACATAAAATGTGGTGTAGATATAAAATCTTTATAAATATATTCTTTTCTACTATCCTCTCCTTTTTCCAGTTAAAACGCCTGTCGCAACTTAAAACAGTGCTAATAATCACATTGGTAAGATTGACAAGAAAAACAAAAATAACAGGTTTGTGTTTTGGGTAACTTTCATTAGCAGCTGTACATCATTTACATAAAAGTAGTTGTTAATCTGAAAATATAACTTTCAAATGAGAAAAATATCCAACTTCCAGGACTGATATTGGTTGTATTTGCACCACTGCACTTTTTTTTTTTTTTTTGCAGTTTCAGGTCTAAACTCTAAATTCCTCTAACACAACTCTGAGTAAGTTAAAGACAAGGGAACACTGTTATAACACGCTAAAAGCTCTTGGAAATGAATTTGGAAGAATATTGCGGCTCATACATGGTACAGACTTACTAATATCGCTGATAAAGTCAAACGCACAGATCAATGGTGCAGAATGTCTTGTCGCTCTTCTTTTTCCCCTGCCGCTATCTGTGTTGCATTTCCTCATCTCTGCGCCTCGTCTCATGCTTCCTATCGCGTTCCAATCCTCCTTGTTCAGATGAAGCCGATAACCACTATCTGCCCAGACAGATATCGGGCTCAGAGCTTGGTGCAAACCCAGCAATTAGACCCACTTCAAACAGAAGCGGCGCCGCATTATCTGAAAGGGAGACATTCGCGGGGGGGAAAAAAAAAAAAGAATATTTATCTGGATTAAAACGAAACAGAAGTCAAAGTGGGCAGTGGTTAAAAGTCAAGGTGTTCTTTCTTCAAAATGATGATCTGCACAAATCTTTTTTTGTATTTATTTTTTTATCTAGCATTTGTGGTATCTGTGCCCATAGACATAAAAGGCAGACATTTTCTTTGGTGATAATGTAATGTCAATCATTCACCAGTAGCTGTTTTTTTTTGTCATTCTAAGTCTCGAGCCAATCCCCTTGTTTTTTTCATGAGTGTACCCATAACCCGTCATGCATACAGTATTTATGTGAGGTTGAAATAAAGTAATTCCTTTGTTGTTCTTTTGAGACAATCATTACCGTAAAACTGGCACCGGAATTTCACGAGCTTTTAGAATACCCTTCACAGTGTTCCCTTCGCATTAGCTCAGTTCTTGCTTGTTTAAGTACAGTAATTGAAGACCTTTTTCACGTTGAAAACAACTGAAAATACACAGCCGGCTACGGTGAAATGCAACCAGTTCTGCTGCAGTTTTGAACATGAGTCAAGTAACCCATTTCCCATGTTTTGAATGGTATAAAACTGAACTTAAGTAAACATAGCAATAGCAGGTAATACTTGATAAATAATGACTTACTTCCCTTTAACTGCATTAACTTAAGACAATCCAGATCCATCATGTAAATTATGTAAAATAATCTTAATTCTTAAGTACAATATTTGCTCCAAAATGTGCGCCATTTTGAATCTAACAAACAAAAAAATTCGAAAGATAAATGTTGTTCTAGAAGATGTGGCTTTTGTTGGCTTTGATATTCCAGCTTTTGGGACTGGGGCGAAGGTAAAAAAGTCAATAAGATTATTAACAGGCGGTAACAGTTTACAAGTGCAGGTTAAATATTTACATTTCAGTGTGTAAAATCCAGCCGTTTGGGATTGAGGCCAAGTCTGTGTTCTGCCTGTGTTGAGGTCCAATGGAAAAAAAACTACTACAATGGAGTCTTTAGCTTCCCTCTGAAACATCTCCCCACGTGCTGGCTTCGTTCTCGTCTGAGTCCGAGAGGGCGGCCGTGCACATGTCGCTGAAGATATCTGGAAAAAGACGTAAACTAATTAAAACCAGTCGCAATAAGAATATGACAGGGCTGACGATTTGGTGCAAACAGGCAACATTGAAATCACTCAGTATGTTTACAAAGCATAAGAAAATCCCAAACTGGTCTGATCACTCTGGTCCCAGTCTATATGCGGGGCACTGCATCCAAATTAGAAGAGGAATCTTTCAAAGGCGCTTCGTAACGTTGACCAAACTCAAACTTTGGTACTGCAATTGCTATCATACTTGTTTTATACTGCTTAGGTTCTTATTGAAAGACAACTCGGGATGTTAGCCTTGTTAGCGTGTCTTGTCTGCTAACTTGCGAGCCATGGTAAATACTGGGAAATGTCAACCATTGTCAAGAAGTAGTCTTTCAAAAATTCAAAAGAAACTTGTATTAGTGAAAAGCCCTTCCTTAGTGAACTAGTGGACACTTCGTTTACTTTGATCATTTGATTTACGGACAGGTTAAACTGGATGTATTAGTAAGTAATTTCCGCAATGCAACTAGTAAGTAAGTAAGTAAGTAATGTTTATTTATATACCGCCTTTCACAGACCAGAGTCACAAAGTGGTTTACAATGGTTATTTTTTGGGCATCTGTCCTCTCACTCCTCACAGAGATGGGAGCGGGGTCGCCGATCAGGAGGCGCATGCCAGACCTATTGTACATATTTTTAGTGGTAGGGGAAACCGGAGTACCCGGAGGAAACCTACGCAGACACAGGGAGAACATGCAAACTCCACTCAGAAAGGCCCTGGTCCGACCGGGATTCTAACCCAGGACCTTCTTGCTGAGAGGCGAGAGTGCTATCCACTCAGCCACCGTGCCGCCCGGATGCACGTGTTATTTGTGAAGTTTTGCTCCGCTTTAGTAGTATCCAGTTTAGTAGAAACGGGTCCCATCCAGTTTTTCCGAATTAAGTTTGAGTAGGTGAGTGACCAATAGACTGCATATAAGGAGTGCTCATTTCCTTATATAGGCCATTGTTATAGCTTTGTGCCTTAACAGGGACAGACATTTTTTTATCATGGTGTAAGGAAAGTTGGAGTTTCCCCAATGAATGAAGACATCTGAGACATCTTTACAGAGAGAAATAAAGCATCCCAGAATCTTACTTTTCAAAATAAGTCAATGTGAGGCCAGCGCGAGTTGGAGCAAAACTTTGTTCACGCTAATGGACTTCCTTGAACTAGGGAGTAAGCATTGTCCATCTATACACAGTCTACGTCTAAGAACCTATAGTGCTTTGTAAACATACTCACTGATAATTCAAAGGAGTGAGCACGGATGGTAGGAACAGTGTTGCAAAGAAGTAAATAATTATGCAACACTTTCTTTCACTGTCATTGGCTTAAAGGAACAGTAGCTTGTGCTTTTACTAGTTTTAAGACAATCCAGACCATTGTTGCCAGTGTCTTTTCTGTATGTTAAGAATCTGGCAACTCAAATGATACTGTGATGCTAATTCAGCCTTCTGAGAACAACATATCAAATGTAATGTATATTTTGATCAAGGTAGAAAACATGATTTGATAGCATACATACTGTCCCTTTAAATACAGTGATATGACGGGGCCACGCACAGCCAAGGAGTGCATGCCAAAACACATCCTCTAAAGAGTAGGCCAAGGGGAGAGGAGAGACAGAGCCTGGACCAGTGAAGGAGAAAACCATACATACAAACATGAAGCCGCTATTTAGTAAGTAGGGCAAGTATCAGGAAATATGAAATGAAATGAAAGTGTACCTTGTATACTCATTTATTGTATGTATTCTAATAGAAACTTGGCAAAAGTGTAGCATAATGGTGTCCATAAGAGGAGCACAGCTTACAAAGGAAAGAGACATGATGTAGAAATCTATTGGAAAAGATATGGGAGATTTAAAGAACCATTCTTGACTCTTTGTAGACACAAAGTGTTTGTTCAATATATAATTGCATGGATAAAAGGGTAATTGTTATGTTTAATGTAACAATGACTCTTTCGAACCACTAACTGTCAACTCTATAAACAAATAATCCAATTTTATAATTTCAATTCAAGGGTTATTATTGCCAAAAGATGCTTTGTTTTTCATGGAGATCAGTCAGTTGTATGTTGTTACAAAGGATATACTATTACAGATACTGGTATGAGATATTGATGCTGATCCAGGAAAATGTCTCAGGGACTGGGTGTATAAAGATGATAATAAGCCAAACTAGTCAAATTAACCCAGAACCACGTATTTGTTACTTGCAGGATGAATAATAGTTTAAAAAAACACACACAATTGGATTATGTTTTGACTGGTGAATTGGTGTAGGGCTGATATCAACAATATTTTTTGTTAATTGATTAGTAGGCCTCATCTTTTGATTAATTATTTAGTGGCTTGATCTCAAAAGGACAGTAAAAATAGGTCTTTTTATTAATTTGACCAAAACGAAGCTCTAGTGACACCCCTGGAGAAGATGATCCATTACTCATTGGGTTGTTTGATTAAAAATACGTTGTATTCTGCAGTTATTATAGAATTATAAGTCACAAAACAGACTCTGACTTGTCCCGTCAAAACTCAGACTTGACTTAGACTCAAGGTTTTAAGACTCGCAAGTCTCTATGGTATTACTTCTGCAAATATATTCTGTTGTGCCTCTCTCTCTCTCTCTCTCTCTCTCTCTCTCTCTCTCTCTCTCTCTCTCTCTCTCTCTCTCTCTCTCTCTCTCTCTCTCTCTCTCTCTCTCTCTCTCTCTCTCTCTCTCTCTCTCTCTCTCTCTCTCTCTCTCTCTCTCTCTCTCTCTCTCTCTCTCTCTCTCTCTCTCTCTCTCTCTCTCTCTCTCTCTCTCTCTCTCCTCTCTCTCTCTCTCTCTCTCTCTCTCTCTCTCTCTCTCTAGCAGCGTCCAGTCAGTGTAGGGGTAACTGGTTACATACAGGTGCAGGTGGTTACAGGGCTGCAGGCTGCTGGACTGACCACTTTATATTGTAACAGTGCACAACAGGACAGCTCACTGCAACTGAGCGGCCAGTGCCTGCCACAAATACTGAGAGATCGTTAATGCTGCAAGAAACAGATCTGGATCATGGGAGCAGAAGTTTCCATGTTTTCCCCCGTGTGTCCTCCTAAAGATGTGATCAGTCTCATCTGAGGGACGTCTTCTTAGGGTTTTTTGAAGCCTAAATTATAAACGAGGAAAATACAAGCTCATCTAAAACTCACTAAATTAAAGCTGGAGTACATAACTTTACTTTTTCAGAAGGAGTTTTTTTTGTCCAAACAGTCTCTCTGGAGGTTGACAGACAGTGTCAAGAGTTTTGATCATCTATTAGTAATTTTTATGTTAAATTGTTTGGTAATTTTTATTAAACAATTTTTTTTTTGTATAAAACTATGAAACTTGGACATGATTTGGACTTGCAGGTCCAGAGACTTGGTCTTGACTTGGACTCATGGATCAAATACTTGGACTTAGTATTATACATGTAAAATTGGCGTTCTGTAGGTTTGAAATGAAATCAAACTTACTAACTAATAAAGTTAATAATTAAATAATGAATCACTAGATTAATTGACAACTATCTCAATTATTGATTAGTTATGATTATTCAATTAATTTTCTTACAGCCCGACTTCTTTTCCCAAATAACATCTCCATGGAGAACAAAACCTTTGAGTCACTCTCGCTCAAAACTATCCAGAGCAATGATCTGGTATAAAATTGCCATAGCGCTGATACGATGGTACAAACGTGAGCTGAGTGAGGATAAGGGGAGGAGGCCGGGGAAAAAAAAGATATAAAAGGAATTTGTGTCCACACTGAAGGAGCTTTTTAGTGTGACTGCAGTGGAAGTGGGCAGACAGGGGGAAGGGAGGGGGGATGAACGTCTGTGAAAGGGTCTGTTAGTGCCGGAGCGGAGTGCACATGAAGAGCGCGTGGTTAGGGGCGAGCGAGTGGCTGCACGGAGGTAAGAGGAGAGAGAGGGAGGGAGAGAGAGAGAGAGAGAGAGAGAGAGAGTGACCTCCTTCAGACGCAGAGTGGAGGATACAAGATGGCACCAGTCCTGTCTCCTCTGTCTTAAGACTCTTCACTAGCCTAGAACATCAAGCACATTCTTCACTGGAGCCACAATACACCAAATTAGAAACAAACTATTTCACAACTTCTAACTTAATACCATCACATTTTTACGTATACAGACAAGGGGTTACAATGAGTTTGGATACTTGTACGGGTACTCAACATGTGTAGTGCTATTAGGGGAATTGGACACGGTTCTAGCATTTATCTAGATTTGGTCTAATCCAGTGGTTCTCAAACTTAAACAAAAATCAATACTTACAGTAATAAAACATTTGTAAACTATTATTTACTTCTAGCTTAATGTGTGGGGTGTTGCATTATTTTTGGGCATATCTATTGAAAATACCTGATCCTCAGTTTGAGAACCACTGGTCTATCAATACTGAAGTACCTTTACATACATCTCTTTGATGGCCTAACTCCAACACCACCTACCAAAAAGTAACAGACATATATAGTATTCACAATCTTGAATTCAAATAAAGTCAGTATTATATTGGTTTCATTTTCAATATTTGTTTTTGGCTTATGTCACTTTTGACATTTAAAAATATGGACATAATAGCACCTAGCATGAGACTAATTGTAACTATTGGTAAGACAGCAATTTGTGGCTTCCACTTGCTTGTCACTAATGACATTAAGATCCGTGCCCAGAATGTTCAAGAACTATTTTATGAGCTGAATCACATTTACATGATCATTATTGTACAAAATAGTTTGTACCCTCGGCTAATTGTTTAGATTGTATACTTAAGATTACTTATATTACTTTCCCAGGTTAATATGGATTGTTTCAGTATCTCCAGTGTTATCGCTGGAGGAGCCCCCTGCACTGGGAGCAGTAGTCAGCTGTGGGGGTCCGCATCTTGGACCTGTTGGAGGTTTGGAGCCTGGGCTGTACCTGTAACTGTGCGTTGCAACTAAGAAATGGGCCTACTGTGGGATAAAAAAAGTTTCTCTAACCTTTTCTATTATTCTCATTATTCATTTCCTTATCATTTAATTAGAGATAAATGCATATACTTTTAGACCAGATTGCAGCATCACCTGTTTAGCAATGATAAATATTAAAAGTCACAAGTCATGCGAAGCCAAAGTTTGGGAAACTAGCATTAACGACTTCACAAGTACATTGCTTTAAAATCCGCTTTCATGCAACGCTTCTGCCACCCTGCGCCTTTGTGTTAGTTCTAAGTGTCTGGCTGTGCTATCATTACCAACACAGCGCGCTGGGAGCAGAACGAGTGTGAAATGAAAACCTAAATCTGGTCTTGGCAGTTTCTCCGGAGAAAGCGCTTGTTTCTTTAGCAAAAAAAAGAGTCTTGTATAAATACATCTATACACAGTCAAACCAAGCGGTAAAATCGATTCGGACATGCTCAAAATGGTGGCTCAACCTTCCGTCGTCTGAATGGAAAGTTCAAAAAGTTGTGCGATAACTTTGATCCGTCAAAAAAGGCACAGAGGTTTATGAATTCTTTATCCTACTCAAGCGTGGAAAGAGAGCGATATAGTCCTTTTAGGGGTAAAAAAAAAAAAAAATACCCATAGAAGCTGAAGACAGGAGATGTTTTTTTGAGTCTTGAAAAATACATGAGCTGATGAAAAATGAGAATATTCATAGCGTTTTCATCTAAGGCAGCATTAACCGTATCCGGAATTCAGACATCTCCAAAACATTGTATCCGTCCTTATATTTCCCAGTGCAGACAGGAAAAAAAAGATGTAAATGATTAGATGTGTAGAATGAAATAAAAGCTTTTCATTATTCATCTGAAGAGTGCATGCTTTCAAAGTGCCGGCCTTGATTTGAGGAAGGACTATTAGTGGCACTTTGGCATTGTTGTGGTGGGACTCGATGGGGTGAAGTGGAGAGAGGGATGAAATATTAATTCAAATCGGCGCTTTAATCTCGGGGAACGTGATCCCAGAGTTTGCATTTCTGTCACCGGTCAAAGGAAGGTGTGAGGTTTGATGTTGTGCATAAATACAGATGGGCTTTTCTCGTCCAGACACATTTTAAACAAAGGAAATGGGGCTGGTCTGTTAGAATCTTGTTGCTTTCAATGCGTTTATTTTTAGATCCTGTTTTAAAGGACTACGCTACGAACATTAACGACAGAAATAAATTGAAGGAAAAGATGTATGAAAAACTTTTTGTAGGATTGATGCAGAAAAGGAAAAAACTAAATATTGAATAATGGTTTAAGGCAGATTTGATTTTTTTTTTTCGATTTGGCGCAACCGGAAGTTGGCTGTGCACCCATATTTTCGTCCAGTTGGACACAGCGGTAGTGGTTTACAGAGGCAAATACGGTTTGGTTCCACAGAAGATTCTGCCATAACCTTGAGCCTGCTAATACCCAGAAACAATAGGACTAACCATATGGAGGCAGTGTTTTACTCATGGAGACAAAATAAAATACTCCAGAATTGTGAAACCGCCGCAGAAATTATCTTAAAATACAAACGACAGGAAACAGCTTCACTTGTTGTTATGTCACTAAGTCCATGATTTAATATATATTTGTTTATTGCCATATAACAACATCCATGAAATATATAACTAAATAATATTGTGATTGTTTCTGATTTGAATGCCTTGCGTGATTCTTATATCTTGTTTTGTTCAGCACTTTGGGTTGCCTTGTGTATGAACTTCAAAAAAAATTAAGAATTCGCTGTACTAAAACTGGTTGCTGTATCTTTTTATGTCTATGTAGATTTTAGTGTTTATGATTTATGCTTGATGTGATATGGGTTGTGTGATGCTTTGTGTTGCCTCGTGTAGGAAACGTGCTCTACAAATAAAAGTTGATTGATTGATACTGTTAGGATTGGCTTTGTATTTCCCAGTTGGATGTAAACTGATAGTAAAAAACTAAAGTGACACTAAAATGTAACTGACCATTGTCCGTTCTCCGCCTCCTCCAGAAACTGCACCATTTCCCCAGAGTCCAGAGAGAGGTTGTGGGAGGCTCGAGGGTCGTAGGTCAGCTGAACGCGGTAACGGCTGCTGTCCCCCTGTACACACACAAGAGATCAAACATTGAAAAACATGGACGCCCATCAGTGAAGTGCTCATGGACAAAGTTTTTCTCCAACTTGCTGTGGCTCTATTGACTAAATAAACTCTAGCTTAGAAACCGTTTGTGACACACTAACAAAAATTCTGAGTTTCAGCCTACAAACGGTTCTCAGTTTTTTTTATATACATTTTGGTTATTGATTTTAGTGAACCTATGCCAGGGGGGTAGTTTATTGTAAAAAGAAAATAGCCAAAAGAATGCTCCTAAAGGGTTATCATAGTTAAGTTTATGTAAGCTGTCAGTCGTGTAGTATAGCTCTCAGTGATATAGTATAATATTCTTTTTAACTTTTAGGAACTTGTGTGAAAATTAAGCCAAAGTATTAGCTCAACGGGTATCTTAAACCAATAATTAATTCACTGCCTATGCTTAGAGTAGTGTTTAAATACTAAGCCAAAAGTGCCCTGGGCGGACTGACAGAAACATGGCTATCGATGCAATGACTCATTTTCACACCAGATTTTGTGAAAGACAAGGTGCATGTGCTGCAAGAGTATAACAGTGTTGCATTTTCAGACAGGAAAAGCTTAAACTAAAGCTTAACAAAAAACTGGGACTATGTGTGTGATTGACAGGCAGATTAACCAATAAGTTAAGTTTTTTTCTTCTTTGTGAAATCAAACTTTTTACATTATAGGGACCATTTTCAATTTCAAAGTCCAGATTTGTCTCAAAAATATGAAATCTTCAATGCGCCAAAAGTTAGCTTTGCATATGAACAAGTGGTCACAATAATAACAAATTTAACTTATCAACAAAGGGATGAAAATCAGTAAATAACAAAAAACAGATGCCGAAGCCAACTCAACTCCCCTTCTTCAGCTGGCTCGTCTTGACGTGGAGAAGTAGCAGCTCTACTTCTAGCTCCTCATTTTGGGCCGCTTCATGAACATAAGTGAAGGTGGGAACATAGATTGACGGGTAAATTGAGAGCTTTGGCTTTCAACTCAGCTCCCTCTTCACCGCTGTTTTTTTGTGTTTTAGTTGTGAGCCAAAATTACCAACATTAAAACATGTCAAGGCTTCATATTTTTTGCTTTGCATATGATGGGACTCTCATATAAGATAAGATAAGATAGACTTTATTGATCTCACACAGAAGAAATTTACAGATTGATTTCACATTGTAAATGTTAATACAGAAGTAAACGGACTTGAAGGACATTCTACTTTTAAGAGTTTCATCTGTATATAAAAAAATAAGTACATAATGCAAAACCTGTACAAAATAAAGGCGAAACTTGGTACCTCCCACCATTGTTAATCTTTTGACGTCTATGTTTCCTTACAGCTCTTATCATACGATGATCGAAATCAAACGTGTGGAGCACAGAGGAAGATAAAAGACAACAGGGGAAGCAGCTCAGTTTTATGCAGAACCGTCAAGAGAAAGTACCCACTTGATACACCTCAAAATTACATATCTGACACAGCGAATGGTTTGGCGCTCATACAGAATGTAGGAGCTACTTGTGAGCCGAGAAAATCGACATACGCTATGGCCAGTCAGGCGGCACTATGTTTCCAATTTGTGACTCTTGAGACAACTCTAGAGATTCATGTAATCCCTTCCATCTTTTACCGAGGTACTGAAAACGGCCCAGTCATTTCACACAATAGTCCGTGAACTGCAAGCCCACCCAATATCAATGAGCTTCCCTGTCTGCGACCAAATCAGCCTGTCCCTTTGTGACTTGTTTTGTTTGCGACATCATAACAGCCCCATATGGCCCCCAGCACAAACAATTAATATCTTCAACGCCGAACAAACAGAGCGACTTTGATCCGTTCTTCTCCCGCGATCCGGTGGCCGCTACATGACACGGGTCTTAATAGCTGCGGGAAGGACCTCTCCCTTCTCCTCATCCTCCTCCTCCACCTTCTCTTCCCTCGCTTCTTAAATGTCAAGTCATCAGTGCTGGCCGCTAATGAGATGTGCGTCCGTGGGAAGTAATTAAGTGGCAGAGGGCTGGTCTTTGGGGTAGGGGGCGCTGCGCTGAGGGACAGTGGGAATGAATGGGCGAGCGCAGACAGCCGAGAGCCCCCGGACACTGACTGATGCAAGGATATGATGATTAATGGGGCAAGCTAAATCTAGTGGAACGGGTCAGGTCGAATTGCGTTTCCAACTCTGAAAATGTGAACTTCCAGAATGTCAGTAATGAATTTATTAATACTATACGTCGTTAGCTGGATGTAAAGTGGAGTGGAATGTAGGACAGGGCGACGCATGCTCTGTTACTTCCCAACTCAGATGAAATATTGGATCAAGTTGCATGTATGCTGTAGGAGCGGCTGGCCAAACAGTCTGTCCCACGGAGAGCACATACCAGACCAAGGCCAAAGACTGAAATGGAGTCTTCTTAACATAACATCCCATCCACACACCAAATTTAACCCCAATCTGAATTTAAAATCTTTGGACCTCAGACCAGGCATTTGTAGAAAAGTGTTTCTTATGAACTGAAACAACATTGTTATTTAATAAACATTCAATACATCAATATCACCCACAGTCTTTTATCACATATCGATCAAAAATAAAAATCTGGAGCTAATGGCTGAATAATGCCTGAGTGGTGCACAGATGGACTTACGTTCTTGTTGCTGCCATCCTCCTCTGAAGAGTTGGACGACTCTTCTCCACTGGACGGGATTGTCTCAAAGTCCTCTGTGTCCATGGAGGGAAGACGCCGCTGGGCCCAACCTGGAGACACAGGACGAGGAGAGAGACTTTGTTTTACATTGTTTTATATTCTATTGTAGAAGCATCAAGATTTTGAAAGATTTTTCAGAGAAGGGGTTAGAAACACGTGCTTCTGCCCTCTCCTGTTGAACCCCATGTGATAATATTTATGACACATTATAAAAAGAAATGAACAAAATAAAAAACATAGGATATAAGTTAAAAAATACTTAACATATGTTATTTCCCAAAATAAAACACACAAAAGTTGAGGAGGGAAACCAAAATAAAATAAAAGTAAATAATAATACATAAATGGTACCAAGAATATTCATGTTCCAGTGTATTTGAAACATATTTTTAGAGTCACACAGGTTTGCCCATATTTAATCTGTAGTGGCTTAAGTGAGTTTGAGGCCACAGACTTATACAGATGTGTTGAATTCTAAGTCCGAAAAAAAATATACTTTTGTAAAGGATTCACGAGATAAACATAAACCACAATGCAGACGGGGTGAAATCCTTCGTTACCTGGCTGGGAGGTTGATCTGGGGACAGTAGCCGGACCTCCTACCCCTGAATTACTGATGATGCTTTGCCGCTTCTTCATTGAAGCCATAGCACCACGCAGCGTGTCTGAACAGAGCCAACCAACCTCTCATTTACCCAGCTATCTACAAAGGTCACATCCGAAATCCACAAGACGACACTGAATCATGCCACAGCTCAAAATGACCACAGAAATTACAATAACTATGCTAAATAAAAAATAAAAAACATGGTAAAAGGGCAATCGTTTCACCTAACGTCTCATGCAAGAAATACACAAACACAACCATGCAGCATAACACTGTCACAACAGACTTAAAAAGAGTATGTGAGTAATTATAGTTTGGACACTCAAATAATTCATTTAATACGCATAATAAATGTATATGCACAAGGAAAGTATACAACATACATGACACAGAGACTTTGCAAAAAAAATAATAAAAAAATGCAAATGAATATCAAAAATAATATCAAGTAATTTAAAGAAGGAACACAATTAGCATGCATCGAACCTTCATAGCCAAAAGGAGTGGGGTCGCTCTTAATCTCGTGCCTCTTGCTCTTTACGCTGGCGGAGAGAGGACCTGACCAAGGACAATGCACAGTGAACAGTCTGCAGTGTTTTTTTCCGCCAGTTTAATGCAAATGAAAACGAACTTAGAAGAGAAAGACTCTGCAAATGCCAGCCCTCGTGTTCTCAGTGACCTTTGCTGAACTACTTATTCAAACTGTGGCGAAAGTCAGATGAATGGTGTCCTAAGTTTTAATGATGATTGTAAAGCGAGGAAAATCAAAATAGTTGAATGTTGTTCTCCTTATTGCAAGCCTGTATCAGATAAAAACAATTCATTTTATAGTGTCTTTCCTCGGTGCAATTGATTGTTCATTGCTTGTAAATTCAACAGCATGGCATTGAATCAAGAACGGCAAATTCTTTTAACAGATAACTGCTTCTTACATATACTTGTAAATGACATGACAAGAAGGCTAGACATGCAAGCCCAAAAATACAGTTCTGCACATACGTTAGCAAAAGTTAACGAATCCATCTCAACACAGTAAAGAAGAACAAACTCTAATATCCAGTTAATTGATTTACAGTTGGGGTTAAGAGCACCCCTTCTGGTATTATATTGTCATAACATGAAGAACATTCCAGGAATCGCAATATCATCTCCATGGAAACAACCAGGGAACACACTCCCACAAGAAAAGTCACCACAGTGTGCGTTTGGGTACACTACTCATACATTTGATTTAGGATATTTACATTTCATTTGGAACAAGCAGTTATGACATTTCTCTAAGTCATGTCTATCCACTATGTTAGCTTCACTGTTTATCAACACGAGTGTCTCACAAAAAGTTTACTTTAAAAAAATAAAAATATATTATTTTGTTTTTTTATCTACAGTCAAAACTTGCATTTTTCTACAGAGAAGCTAACGAATTGTCAAAGTTCCTTAGCATCTTAACGCCTGTATAGGTTTGGAAGTTTGTAAATAAACACAGTGTGTGTGGAGAGGGTTAGTTATTATCCCATCGTGCCCCTGTGGCTCTTAACACCACACATCTGTATTCATGAGCTAAACTGCTTTTGTACTGCTGCCTGAATGTCACCCTAAATGTCATCCTTTCACAAACTATTATTACCTCATCCCGCCTTTATGAAAGAATGTGTATGCACACTTTGTACCCTTAGCACTCTTTTGATATTCGCAGACGGCTCAGCTTCCTCTATGCATCTCATGCATTTCAACACAAGCTCAATGTGCATGCGTGAAGAAGAAATTACTATAATACTCTGTTGCATGTTTCTGACTGAAGGTGATTGTCAGCTGCCAAATAACATACTTGAAAATATACCGCTGAGACCCAAGGAGGCTTTCTTCCAACATGAGGTTTTGCCAATTCAATATACGTACAGTACAATACTGTCTTACTTTATTGTGTCAAAGCCCAATTTGACATATGGAAAATCTCATAAAAACAAGCTTAGGGCATACTCTCACTTTGGCTTTTGAACCGTGTAGCATTCAAGAACAAGGCCCACTCACAAAGCCTCTCACATCATATTGACATGATCAAAAACAATCTCCTTCCTGACTTTTACTAGTTCAATTGTGTATGTGTTAATTTGTAGGAACCTGAAGAATATTTGTATAATGTATTTATATATGATCAAGCAATATATTGTGTCAATACTTCAAAAAATCTTGTTTTAAATGTATTGGTATAGTAAAAATCACAACAAGTGATCTACTCTAGTTCGTTATCATTGTCGGTTATGTAAACATTTAAAATAGGAGTATCATGGACCTTCTATTTAATACAATTTAAAATCCTGAACAAAGAAATAACAATAAAAGTAAAGCTATAAGAAAAAAAGATGAGTGAAATGCCATTTTTAATTTAAAAGACTTATTTGCTCCTTGGATCCTGGCATGACTTCAAGTTCACTTTGAGACATGACTTAACTGTTAAATTAATCATTTCTGCTTTAGTCCATTTCTAATTATTATATATTAAAGAAAAAGAAAAATGGATTCCATTAAGGTAGTGGGTTCTTGTTCAGAGTTATACCTTTGTTTCTTCGAGCAGCAAAAGTTGAAGAGGTGGATGTGGCTAAAGAAGAGGTGAGTGAGAAGCGACGAGGGACCTCTGCCTCTTTAAGAGTGGGCTCTAATAAGGGACAGAGAGGAGTCGAGGGGGTGTGGTATTATGGAAGGAGAGGGGAGGTACAAGAGCAGAGAGAAGTCAGGTAGGGGTTAGTGGAAAAGTAAAGACAAGTTTTGATGAATACATTTCGGGCATCAGGAGAAAGGTGCTGAAGAAACATGGATTTTAATGTATGTGTTTAGACAAAAAGACAATGCAAATACACAGACACAGGGTAATAACTAAATTTATGAAATGTAATCATGTAAACAACACTTTTAAAACAATATCATGGTTTTCTTGGATGTTGTTGTTTTGTAAAGCGGTAACTATAACGTGATCTGCTTCTTTAGAAAGTTCATATAGTAAAGATTGTTGGTTGACAAATAGAGGAAGTCACAAAATGCCTTCATTATTCCTTCAATAAAGAACCAGCTTTAAAGTAGCCAACCTGAAGTCAATTCCTTATACCTCCTGCAGATTGTCACAGAAATTAGTTTTTTATCACATAAAGGCCAGCCCCTTGAGGTATTGTAAAGTACAGAACAGACAGACCTCCATTTTGTTCAATCCGGAACATAATTCTTTACACCGACAATGCAGGCAGAATACAGCTGTTGCTCTCACATCCTCATTGAGAGAATAAATCTGTCCTGAATGAGTAAACCATTAATAAGCTCTGAGGTGACTAAACGGCTAAAATCATGCCTGGATCGCACCATTGCTACAGTTCAAACTTCTTCCCTTGTTTCCAATGCCCTGTGCACACCCATGTGTCCTCTCTGTCAGGGTCTAGAGCTGGGTTTTTGAAGTGATCGCTCCTGAGTTCAGCAGAGCGGTATCTTCAGAGTGATGTCAGACTGTCAGTCGTCACTCAGCCGGGTGCTACTAAAACAAAGGACTGACGCAACACACCGCAACAACAGGGACACGAGCCAGGGGCCGGCCATATCACCAGCAATACTGCCATCCAGTGACCGGAGAAATGTCCAAAATCTGGTCCTAAGTCCTTGTTTTGATCTAGTCCTAAGACCTTGTTTCAACAGTTATAGTTAGAAAAAAAAAATACAGATTTCACCAATATGACATGCATTTAGACTCAAAAAATAACTTTTGAAGAATCTGAAAGAAAGTTCTACACCATTGAAGGTGTAGAGCTTTCTTTCAGATTCTTGTATACATGTTTGAGGCCGTTACATTCTGCAACTTGTCATCATGGATTAGCTTCATTCTGACAACTGACTAGAATTCAGTACCAGACTGAACCGGTTTGTCCAGTATTTTGAGCGCGAATTTACCTCCCACCTCCAAAGAAACCGGCATTATTCAGTGAAATGTGGATTTAAAGAGCACACCGCTTGTTGTCAATTGAAAGAGAGGCCGATCTAGTACCTGAACATCACAGATTCAAAACCTGAACCTTTGGCAAGTACATTTAAACCAAAACTCACACAAGGAAGAATATAGTATATGCAATAAAAAAAGGGTGATTGACAGATGGGATTGAGGGGAGGAGACAAATTGTCAAAGTATCACAGCAGCGATTCGTGCAAAAAAAAAAAGTTTTGTGAAAACTTTTCCGTCAGTCAACCGGCACATTAGCACATTGATGCTTCGTTCTATTATTGTGCTATTCCCTTCTAAACAATATAAACATAAAGACAAAGACAATGACTTTGGACATTGAGATGAAACTGATGATGATGGAAACTTGTGGGAACGACACTGGACTTGATGATGAAGCACATTGAATTGAATGGGGGGAGGGGCTGTTTACCTGCGGGAAGGGACCTCCGGTTGGAAAGCCCCTGTAAGCTGAAGCGTTTCCGAGCATTAGCAGCTGATTGGCTCGCAGAGGGGTCAGCTGACAGGAAGTGAGACGAGCCACGGTTAGTACATGGTTTTAAGTTTGACAGGAGTAAAAAAAAGAAAGCAGCGCCATTGTATGGTTTCAAAGTCAGGTTGACCTGCCAAGACGCAAAACAGAAAGATATCAACTCTTCTCATGCACAGGGACAAAATCAGATCAGCAAGCACCATCTGACTACATGGACAGGAGAAACTGCTTGTCACAAAACTAACCGTGGGCAGAGTTTACTGAAACCACCCTATCCCATTTTTCAAATGTAAAAAACTTCACTTTAACAGCACATTCCCAAAATGATTCCAATTGAACATTTACAATAAGTATGGACGTGAGCCTTTTTACAGTCATTAACTTTCTTATATAAGATATGTCACTATGGAAACAGGGAAGACACCTTATATTCTAAAAATAGCCACTTCTCTGGCTGTAGGTTGGAGACCCAGAGTCAAAATGACATTCTCTTTGTTTAGATACACGTTGAGACCAGCAAGGTGAAAACATGTGCTCGTTCTTACATTCTTATGTTCTGTGGAAGTAATTTAATCACTTACAATTGCCTTTTTATTTAATTAACTTGTTCTGATATTGAGGAAATCATATTATTTTTGGTTTTACAACCATATCAAGCATTTTTCATCACACAGCATTCAGACCATAAACAGCAGTAGTAAATACATACAATATGATCAAAGTGAGAGCTCATGCACAAGATTCTTGAAACGTGAAACGGGAAGAAGAAAATGTTTTAAATAAAGAATCACAGCTAAACATGTATGTTCTACATATAAATAAATATTTAAAATACCATGAAAGGAGAGAAAAGTTGACAGAACTTTGGGACGTTGTGTATTAATGAACAGCTACTGCTGTAAATTCGCCAGAAGTAGCTCAAAACGAGCTTTAATTCACATTACCATTGCAGGCGGGCACAGGGGGAAGATGCAAACTCCACTCAGCCAGGAGTCGATTCCAGGACCTTTTTGCTGAACAGTGACAGCTCTAACCACTGCACCACTGTGTCGCCCTATTTATATTTATATGTTAAAACCTCTGCCATAACTAACTAACTAACTATCTAACTCAGACTCACAACCCAGAACACCAGTTACAGCCCCCCCCCCCCCCCCCCTTCTACATGTCTGCCTCCCTCTCTTTTCAGTCTATGGTGGTCTTCCCCTCCACCTCCCCCACCCACACTCCCCTCTGACGCGCTATATTGGACGAGGCGGGCCAGAGTGATGACTTCCCTTCAAAAAGATCCGCATGTTTTCCACATGTACCGTGTCTCTCCCCATGTTTGTTTGAAATATGTGTGTATGTTACTGCTCTCTGCTGTTTATTCTACTGTTTGTCGCATGGCGCCGTAAAAATGGCGCCGTGGCAAGAGCTCTGGTGTGTGTCGTCTGGTGCACACTGGGGTAGTCTTGCACAGTTTTTCCTATGTGGTTTTACTGCAAATGGCAAATAAATGAATCTGAATCTGAATCTGATAATAAAACACAGCATGAGCCCTGGTACAGCAGCTAACATAGATTTAAAAATCCCATGTGTGATTGGTGTTCAAAGGGATCAATACAGGTTCAAGGAGAGCAAAAATCTGATATGATAAAGAGGAGAAAAAAAAAAATACAGTCCATGAAGGACAAAACATACACAAGAGATTAGAAATAATAGAAGAAGCGAAGAGATATGGTAGGATTATGACAAAACAATAAAAAAACCAATTACAGCACACAGTTCCAGTCCATGAATGAATTCTAATGATGGTCCGGATCACCTCCAAAAAGCACAATATCCCATATCCAATCAGGACTTTTTTGAGTTATGTTTTCAATTAGCCATCTAAGAGAAAACAAATCCTGGTGATTACATTACCCCCTGGCAGAGAATGGTCCAAAATTTAACAAATAAATAATTGCCTTCTTGTCCTTGTCAACATGTGCTCAGTACATTACATACAACATGCAAAAAAAAAAACCCTGAATTGTTCTAACATTGTTCTCTCTCTATTGTCTATTGACAGAGATAAACAATCTTTAGCACAGACCTGCAACTGAACATGCTCAATTGTCCAACACTGCCTTCACCGATTGTCCCTAAACCGTTCATTAGAGCAGCTTAGACCTCACACTACATCGAACGGGAAGAAGGGGCCGTGTGGAAGAAACAAATCAATGCAGAGATAGAAAGAACAGGTATAGAAAACTTTTCAATAACCTTTGAGCCTATTGCTTTTGTCTTTGAAAGAAACAGGGCAGTTGTTAAGGTAAGGTATACTTATGGTTGGTGTATGGTAAGGTTTAGTTTGGTTCTTTATTGAGCTAAAGATTTCATAAAGTACAGACTTGTACTATACTTGACATTCATTTATATTGTGTCGTGAGCTCCTCATTCCACCGCTTTTGTAACTTGTGATGCAATTCTGAAATTTCCCCACTGTGGGACATATTAAGGATCTCTAAATCGTAAGGAGGAGGATCACAAATGTACTCTGCCATACCCATTCCAAAGCTTTTTTTGGGTTGCAAGATAGATCAAAATGAGCAAAAAGCAAAGACTTAAAATATTTTAAAAAGACAAAACACGCGTCTGTCTGTGATAGATCTATGACACTTGTTTCTCAGCATTCAGTTGTTTTGAAATGTCAATATTGAGCTAAAATAAAGTCCCTGCAAGATGGAGTGAATCGTTCATATTAAAGGTTAACATTTGGAGCTTGCTGGGGGTTTCCCTTAACAAAACACGAACAAATGTAAGTATTTTGTAAATAAAGAGAATTGATGATGATTGATGAATGTGAAATGTATTTGTCTTTTTTCTTTCAGTTAACATAATTAACTGAACATACTTAGTTTTCATAATTATTGCTTAGGATTTAGTGCAGTCTGATCTTAATTGTACTTTTAAAACGCAAATCACAAATTCTATTGCATTGTTTAACAGAAAAAAACTCCCGATTTAGGCTTTGTTTTAGCGTTGACGAAGATTTTACATTACATTATCTTCTAACATATACCAGATTCTGTCCAGATAGTTGTGTTGGAGGAGGTATTTATTTGGCCCTGAGACCACTGAGACCATTGGACCATGATTATATTTAGACAATATGTAGGGCAAGAATTTGAATAATGTTTTAATTTTCAAGCCATGATGTGAAATAGAGAATAAATTACATACTGTATGGCCAGTGTATGAGCTCGAGGCAAATAGAAGAGATGGATACAGAAACAGCAGCTAAACTTTGAAACCAGGTCACAATGCCAACCAGTAAATCACATTTCAAAATTGAGCTTAAAATTTAATGCTTGTATTTTTTCACTGATATGTTTTAGTGACAGAGTAACACTTTCTCCACCACACAAACACACACCTGATAGTATTTACTGTCCACTCCAGCAAAAACAATCCAAGCTGAGGCCCGCTCTTTAAATAATAAAAGTTGAGTGCAGGTTTTAGCACTTTTGGTTGCAGCTTTGACACCAGTGATTTTATGCCTGGAGTACAGTATAGTTTTCAGTGAGAAAATGCCATAGACGAGAGGGTAACCAATAATTAAACATCTAAAAAAAACATACTGTAGGATCAAGTCTCAATTCATAGAGATTTGGATACTGTCATTACAAATCATCAGTTGTTTTCAAAATATTACATTACTAAATGTTTATTTTCAGCAATCATTCAGAACATTGTGGAAGAATAAATATATACCAGCAGTCACTTCTCTACTTTGCTAATGCATTTCAATGGAGCTTGGGTAACATTCTCCAGATGTTGATGGTCAGCCTGGTCAGGATCATAGACTGTGTACGGACCATACCATTTTTCTAGCTCAATGAAGCCCAATAGGAAGGTGCTCAGGGGCGAAGTTTTGGCCACCTTTGACTTACACTGAAAATAAACTCGAGATCTGCCTAGTGTGCCAATGAGTCACACTCACCGTTTTGGTTTCAGAAATACCAAAATGGTGACTCATTGAGTAAACCCCTCTAGGCAGATCTAGAGTTTATTTTCAGTGTAAGTCAAAGGTGGCCAAAGCGAGTTGGTGTTTTTAAAATTTTGACATTGTCTTTGTAACTACAAATGGGCTCTTTGGTTGCTATACTGTTGCTATCCACACACTCCAGATTGCCAAGCATGGAGTCTGTTTGAGTTACTCTAATGATGAGGCTAGCACTCGGTCAGTTTACTTCTGGTCTCTGGTCAGGACCCTTGCTGGAAACCAACTCAAAAATGGGGAGGAGGACCATTCTGGGATCAAATGAATGCCATCAAGCTGTAAGACTACTTAGCCTACTAATTAAATTAAATTAATTCTTTTATAGCCCTAAATCACAACAGTAGACATCTCGGGGGACTTTACACAACCGTTGAATTCGCCACACAGATTACAGAACCAAACAGTTCAAACAGTAAAACAAAAAACAAATTGGTATAGGTCCATGAGGGGCAGATGACCAATGCCCATAAGTGTTGATAAAATAATGTGACAAAATGCTACTGCTGTTGTACCCCCGGCCTGGTTTTGGTAATTTTGTAGAGCCTTGTTGAGTTGGTGCTTACCTTTCTTCTGCCTAGTGTTGGGACTGGGGTTGGTTCTTCTGAAGCCGCTCTCTGGACTGGATGAATCGGACTGCCTCAAAGCCATCTTCTTCACATTTCTAAAATATGGCCGCGGGGAGATTTTCAAATGTAAGTTAGAGTGTAGGTAAAGGGAAAAATTAAAAAGTTACTATCCGTGTCTCTTCTATTAACTGTATTTTGCAACTAGTTGACAGTTAGCAAGCCACACTACATATTCTTGTGGACAATATGGCTCAGAATCAGTGAGGTACATGGGTTGAGGGGGGCTTACCTGATGGGACCACTGTAAATGTTGTCCGGGAACTTCTGGTGACTTGCTTCTGTGAAAATACAATAAAGTCCATTGAGTTAGATCTCGTAATCATCCAACTATGCTGTACTTTACATAACATAGTCACAGTTGCCAATTGAGTGTGAGTGAGCAGACTGAATGAAAACAGATTTGCAAAGACACAAGGTGAGTTCTTTATGAAGAAATTAAAAAGATCAGAAGGCAAGTGGCCACTGTGACAGTGTCTTAGCAATTACTGTGTTACATTGGCTATATGTGCAGTGATATGAAAAGGATAAAAATGTGCACAAACCCCTGTCTTTTGTATTTCTAGAGTTTAAAACCTGTCGCTAGGAAACAGAAGTCTTTGAGCACAATCACACTCATCTCACAGACATAAGCTGTTACAAAATAATAATAAAACATCCTAAGAGAATTCCTTCTCAGCACAGAGCTTTAAAAAAGAAAATTAAGTAAAGATTGGGCCAAACATTTTCTAGAAATACAGAAAACACAAATCCCAATGCATTAAAAATCAATTAAATCAACAACATGATGATGTTTCTCTAAGTAAAATTAATATTTGAAAATAAAAAGTTAAACAGCCATATAGTTAGAACTTAATCAGATTTAGTCAAATTTATAGAAGGTCAATCAAACGCAGCACCACATGACTCTGACAGCTCCAAATAGTTCATACAGTATTTTGATCAGAGGTTTTTACAGTCATGTAAGGCTTTGTTGGGAGGTTTGGAGGCAAATCATAAGGAAAAAGTGAAATACTGAAGAGGAAGGAGGCTTTCTCTGCCCCTGCTGATCATATGTTCCCATTACAGTGGTATTTGTGTGTGCAAAAGTGCAGAAAGAATGTGTTTGCAGATGCGCAGCAGCACCCTGGTTTATCCCATTGAAAATAAAGGAAGCAGCACCCGTCAATCAAATGTCTGTGCCACTGCGTTTTGACATAAAACTCTGAAACCCTTGTTTTTTAGTTCCAAATTCTCAAGTTATGTGAATGACAAGTAAATATATGAGTTTAATCTGATTGACAGTGTAACCCAGTGTTAAAAACGTGATTAAAAATATTACTGATTAAAATTTCATAATAATAAATATTGACAAAAAGTATATAAATATAAATTGATAAATATTGTTAAAAAGACGTAAAAAAATATATTTGGTTGACACCCCGAGCAGCCAATTGCGCTATAGTATAAAATCATCATTAGCCAATAAGGTCAAGTCTCCTCTCCTAACGTCTACGTCCTCTGTACGAGTGTACGTGCTCGTCAGAGACGCAGACAGAGAGAGACCTTGTACCTGCTCCGGGGGAAGCTAACGTGTTAGTAGCAGCCTTTTTGGTGAAAATACACGGTGATAGGTAAGCAAAAACCAACCCAAACTAAGCAAAACACTGCAATATACAGATTAATGACAATTCGTTTTATTAAATTTAAGATACTGAGTCCCAAAGGCTGTGAACCCACACTAGCTGGGAAACCCTGTGTCCCACGGGGATGTAGCATGGTGAGTGCCATTCATTGTGTATGGGAGCCATGGATGTATTATATTAACTGGATAGGGTATTACTAGCTTGTAGCTGAATAACTCATGTGCTCGGGGGATTCTCGCGGTACTGCAGACTGAACCAGACTAAATTCACGTGGGCTACCCAGAAATTTTCCCCATAGAACTCAATGCATATTAAAACAGCTCAACCTCAGCTTACAGGGAACCTACAGCTTTCATAAAGGTCGGATTTTGTGGGGATTTTAGTGTCCCTTGTCATCCTGAACTTTTTTTCTTCTTAAATCCTTCGGTTTTGTTTAAATCCACACTTTAGTGCCACAAACTCTGCTCGTCTGGCTCTCGCTCTAACTCCCGCTCTGATGAACTGCTCTGATTGGTCAGAGCGCAGCCGAGCCCCTCTGTGCACGTGCGTGAGACCCACACACGCGTGTTTGCCGCAACGCATTATGGGAGATCATCCACTGCGCAGAACCGGGAGGACCAGACGATGCCCAAATACAGGCGAGTTTCCCATAGATCTTTGCGAGTTTCAGGCAACTTCCGCTAATCTTTCAGCCCCCATGCTGTCCAAGCCCCGGCGATCCAAGATGGCGCCCTATTCAAATGAATGGTTGTGCTCAGTGGCGCTTTGTGACGGCATGGGGCGCCATCTTGGATCGCCGGGGCTTGATGGGGGCTAGTTAGCATGCTAATCTCCGGATGCTAATCTCCGAGTGGTATCTCCGCTAGCTTTTTCACTACGAAAATGCACTTTTTAGAGGTAAATAGGTGAATCCAAGGCCCCAATTCATTTGATACGAAATACTATTTCAAGGTTTATGCAAAGTCAATTGTGTAGAGGTGTAAAATGCCGTTTTTTGTTGCAAAATAGTTAATTTAGCACATGCTAATTTTTTATCCTGGTGGTGCTAATGTGGGTTAGCCACTGTGAAAAATTTTAGTGTTAATGTCAAGTGCTGGTACATGCACTTTGCCTGTTTTTTTGAAGGTTTTTCTGTTTTAAAAAGTGAGAAATGTTTATTGTATACACTTAAAGCCTGTGAGTGTAAATTTTGAGTGTAAAGTGTACTTGCTATACACTTTTGAGAGAAACTATTTTTGTTACTAAATGTAAACTAATGTAAATTTGGTTTATTTTCTATTTAGTAATACTGGAATTATAATGTTGTACAACTGAAGATATTTTGAATAACTTTAAAAAGCTTAATTAGTAACTAATCTGTATAAAACACTGATTTAAGCTATTGTCTGACCTGTTTCCAGGTCAGGTTTTTTGTGTGGATCCAATTCAAGAAGAGGCTCCAGATCTGGATGGCGAGCCATAGCCCGAACCACAGTGACTGGTATTTGTAACCCGACTGGTTACTGTTACAAACGAACAGTGAAAGACTAAACGAACATTGAAAGACTAAACAAACATTGAATGGACTTTACAACAATTTTGGGGGGTATTTTTATTTTATTTTTCAAAGCGCGCAATTGTGTTCCCTTTTGTACATAATTCTTAAACTAAATTTGCAGAGTAAACGTTCATTATTTTTCTGCAACTCCTTGTGTATGTGTGTGTCCTTTTGATGTTGTACACTCTAGGCTCCTCCGAATCTCGAATCTATCTGATCTAGCCCAATTGTCCCTTCAGTCCATCCTTTACTACATAAGGGCACAGATAGCACCATGAGTGCTACAACAAGGTCTAAGGGAAATTTGTCCGCTGCATTTGACCCATCCTTCATCCTTCTATTAGGAGTAGTGGGGTGCCTGGGAACCCATTTCCAGATCTTGGTTGGTCAGGACCAGTGCCGGAGGATTTTGAATATTGTACATGTTACTAGGGGAAACCGGAGCACCCAGAGGAAACCTACACAGACACAGCAAGACCAGGAATCGAATCCAGGATATTCTTGCAGAGAAGTGAGAGTGCTATCCATTCGGCCTCTGTGTCGCCCTTATTTTACATTGCATACGTAACAGGAAGTTACACACTTGGAATTTTGCTCAAGGTGCAAATAGGTATGCAGAAAAAAATCACTACCAAGTATACCATCCATCCATCCATCCATTTTCTACCCTTCAATCCATTTCCAAGTCTCATAGCACCAGCCCCTCACTGACCCTCTGCAGGTGGTGAGTCCACAGGAGGACGGCTGCTCTCTGAGTGTGAGCATAGCCTTGATCTTTCAGTGGGGGCTTTGAGCAAAGTGGGGTTAAGTGTCTCAAGGACACAACGACAGCAGTCATCAGTGGGAGTCGGTGGAGAAGGTGTGGAGGTGGGAATTGAACCCACGACCTTCAGGCCTGAAGGCCAATGTTCTACCAACTGAGCTACTGCGGCCCTATATATATACCAAGTATACACTTTACATTAAAAATATGAATACACGTCTTCTGCACATTTCAAACTCCATTTGCATTTGTTAATATTGTTTATTTGCTTTATGTTTTGGTGGTCTTTTCCATACTACTGTACTAGAGCATAATGGGACATGCCCCCGGTGTTACCTGAGTTTAACCTGCCTATACCTTTCCATCACATCGAGTTTCTCCCCTCTCCATTGTCCCAGTCCAATTTAGCCGTCTGTCTGAGGCTTGTTAGCTCCGTACAGTGAGAGCAGAGCTGACAAGTCCTCTCCCACCACCTCACTCTGTCAGAGGGGCAGCCAGCCACAACCACCACTGCACCGTCAGAACCACCTAAGCCCACCACAGAATGAACAAAGAGCTGAGCCAAAAGAGCTGTGCATTCGAGGAAGATTCTGGAGTAAAAAGGAGTGAATAAAATGCGTCCAATACAGAACTTGTGCGTCAAATACAGAACTCACCCAAATTGATTGAATAATATGAAAGGGAAAGTGTTACAAGGCCATATTCAAGGTAAAAAAAAGAAAGAAATATGACAAAGCAGTACATTTGGAGGATTTTGAAATTGAGGACTTTAAAAAAGAAATAAATTATACGAATATATGCGCTCTGGAGAAGTGTGTCCCATGGAATAGCCCCCCCCTTGTCTTTGTTTGTGGCCTTCCTGATTTCTGGCCGTATCTATCTTCTGTATTTACAATCAGCCTTAAGGATGTGTCTCCTCTGATAAAGGCGGAAATCTGTTGCCCACACATGTCAGGTAGTACTAGCTTCATTACTCTCTTTGTCTTGTTAAAATAACCTTATAAGAACACCTGTAGGCCAGCCCTTTCTAGCCATTGGTAGGACTTCTTGAGATCAGCCACTTGTGCTATGCTCCGGTGGCACATGCCGTGTAGGGGCTTGTCCTCCCATGACGGGCTCTCCTCCAGCACCTCCTCATCTCGCCACTGCCTGAGACATTCACTGAGTACGTCATCCGTTTAGGCCTTCTCCATGATGTAGTTATGGAGTTTGGATGTTTCGTCCTGGACAGTGGCTCTCACACTCACTAGTCCTCGGCCTCCTTCTTTACGGCTTACGTACAGTCTCAGGGTGCTGGATTTGGGATGGAACCCGCCATGCATGGTGAGGAGCTTTCGAGTTTTAACATCCGTGGTCTGAATCTCTTCCTTTGGCCACCTGATTATTCCTGCAGGGTATCTGATCACTGGCAGGGCGTAGCTGTTAATTGCCCAGGCCTTGTTCTTGTCATTGAGCCGGCTTCTTAGGACCTGCCTTACTCGCTGGAGGTGGCAGTTGCCGCTTTCCTCGTTGCCTGTTCGAGGTTGCCATTTGCCTGTGGTATACCGAGGGATACTGTCCTCAACGTATGTACATTGCATTGGGACCATACTGACCCAGACAAAAAGCCCTTCAATATAATGTTCACTGGGTCAGCAATACGTTTCCTGATGGTAAATTGGCCAGTGACCACATGAGTCAGAAGTTGTGTCACCAGGATAAGGAAAAATCTGGACTCTGACAGTACGACTAGTGAAACATTGGGGCAGCTCAAGGAGCGCCTGAGAGTGCGGCCTGAGATATACAGTGGGGCAAAAAAGTTTTTAGTCAGCCACCGATTGTGCAAGTTCTCCCACTTAAAATTATGACAGAGGTCTGTCATTTTCATCATAGGTACACTTCAACTGTGAGAGACAGAATGTGAAAAAAAATCCAGGAATTCACATTGTAGGATTTTTAAAGAATAATTTACAAATAAATAGTGGAAAATAAGTATTTGGTCACTTCAAACAAGAAATATCTCTGGCTCTCACAGATCTGTAACTTCTTCTTTAAGAAGCTCTTCTGTCCTCCACTCCTGTATTAATGGCACCTGCTTGAACTGGTTATCTGTATAAAAGACACCTGTCCACAGCCTCAAACAGTCAGACTCCAAACTCCACTATGGCCAAGACCAAAGAGCTGTCAAAGGACACCAGGAAAATAATTGTAGACCTGCACCAGACTGGGAAGAGTGAATCTACAAAAGGCAAGCAGCTTGGTGTGAACAAATCAACTGTGGGAGCAATTATCAGAAAATGGAAGACATACAAGACCACTGATAATCTCCCTCGATCTGGGGCTCCACGCAAGATCTCATCCCGTGGGGTCAAAATGATCATGAGAACGGTGATCAAAAATCCCAGAACCACACGGGGGGCCTGGTGAATGACCTGCAGAGAGCTGGGACCAAAGTAACAAAGGTTACCATCAGTAACACTAAGTCGACAGGGAATCAAATCCTGCAGTGCCAGACGTGTCCCCCTGCTAAAGCCAGTGCATGTCCAGGCCCGTCTGAAGTTTACCAGAAAGCACATGGATGATACAGCAGAGGATAGGGAGAATGTCATGTGGTCAGATGAAACCAAAGTAGAACTGTTTGGTATAAACTCAACTCGTCGTGTTTGAATACCGAGTTGCATCCCAAGAACACCATACCTACTGTGAAGCATGGGGGTGGAAACGTCATGCTTTGGGGCTGTTTTTCTGCTAAGGGGACAGGACGACTGATCCGTGTTAAGGAAGAATGAATGGGGTCATGTATCGTGAGATTTTGAGCCAAAACCTCCTTCCATCAGTGAGAGCTTTGAAGATGAAACGTGGCTGGGTCTTCCAGCATGACAATGATCCCAAACACACCGCCCGAGCAACGAAGGAGTGGCTCCGTAAGAAGCATTTGAAAGTCCTGGAGTGGCCTAGCCAGTCTCCAGACCTCAACCCTATTAAAAATCTGTGGAGGGAGTTGAAAGTCTGTGTTTACTGCTCTCGAGAAGATCTGCATGGAGGAATGGGCTACAATACCAGCTACTGTTATTGCCAACAAAGGTTATATTACAAAGTAGTGAGTTGAATTTTGTTATTGACCAAATACTTATTTTCCACCATAATTTACAAATAAATTCTTTAAAAATCCTACAATGTGAATTCCTGGTTTTTTTTTTCACATTCTGTCTCTCACAGTTGAAGTGTACCTATGTTGAAAATTACAGACCTCTGTCTTTATTTTAAGTGGGAGAACTTGCACAATCGGTGGCTGACTAAATACTTTTTTGCCCCACTGTACAGTAGACTGTTTACAAATGTCCCTGATGTGCATTTTTTATGGTTTGTTGTTTATCAGATTATTATTATTTGATGCGTTCTCATTGAAACTAACCCTGCTGTAGATAAGACAGAAAACTACAGACTGGGCCCCCCTAAAAGTAGTGTCTGGACAACCTGTTTGAGAAGATAAATCAGCATGTTTGTGGGGGAGGGAAATGTATACATAAGAGCGCTAAAAGAGGAACACCCCTCAGAGCTCGGTTTAGGACAAGCCACTGAGAGATGATCTTATCAGCATTTATTGTAACAGGGAAATAAATGTTTGAATAGAACTTGGATTTCCTGATCACTTTGTAGAACTTCCCTTATTACTAGAGTTTGGGGTGGGAGGGGACTTTCATTCCAATGGGTTCACATATTTGATCCTCATAACATAAGTTAAAACTTGATCCCATTATTTTGACATCCAAATAAAAAAATCTGAGGAAAACAAAAAAATCAATTTTTACATTGGAAACAATGAAATCGCTAATTGCCGTTTTGATGAACCCCTGCCCTGACAAAAACAAAACCTTTTCCTTTTTGATATGTAAATAATTTCCATTCAAGCAAAACACAAGTAATGAACAAACCCTCTGCAATGGTTTTTGTTACAGAAATGTTTTAGATAAAATTCTTGCATACCAATGTACATAATATTTACTGTGACTAAAGTGAAATTGTGCACATGTAACACACAAATGTATACCAGACGATCTTTTTACCTCTGCAGGCCTCGAGTTGACCCTGGAGAACTTTGCGTATTTCTGACACCCACATGTTCTTCACATCCATAGAGGGCGCCTAAAGACACACACCACTGTCAGCGCATACAGAACAAGACCAAAGGACGAGAGGAGCGAGGAGAAGGGGCGGAGGGAGGAGCGGAGGAGAGGAGACAAAAAAAGGAATCGAGATAGAGAATGAAAGAGAAGCGAGCTATTGCTTTTACAATGAGAAAACGAGTTCAACAGAAAAAACGTGACGCAACACTGCCATCATGTGGACAGAAATGAAGCAGTAACTTAAACTCATGATGATTTCATTGGTCAATTTGTGAGCGATTACCTTTATAATTACACAACTATGTAAACAGTAATTGCAGTCGATTATTGACAAAAAGTGTCAAAATGATAAATTATCACTATTAGACTGAGCAGAGATTGTATATATATGTGAATAAGTGTGTACATCAGCCCATTATTTGTCTCTTAAAGTGGTTCTCACCCCCGCTCCTCGGAGCTTACGTCACTCACATTTCCTGTTCAAATCTTCCTCTAAATGGGCGTAGCCTGGAGGACTAAAGGGGGCGTGAACGAGACTGGGCCGTTTATATTGCTCTGGGCGGGGGGCTGCTGACGTCAGGTCTTGCTTCAGACGTCAGGTCTTGCTGCCGCGCCAGTGTTGGCGCCAGATTCAAAATTCAAATGTAGTAATACAGGTCGCCAGCAGATGGCGCCTCACAGACGGTTTTAGGCAGAAAGTCTAACTTTCAACTAATTTGCACCAAAGTGACAAAATTATGACCAGGATATGTAGACAACACTATTGGACACTCATTTATACCGTTTATCAGCAAAAAAAAGTGGATTTGAGGGTGAGTTGTCCTTTAAAAAGGCAAAATAAACTTACAATTTGCTCTGAATATTACATTTAAGCTGTGGGTTTTATTCTAACATTATGAGGTTTTTCACCTTCCCAAAGTCATAACATTTTTAGTTCAGTTTCACAAAAGATCATTTGTTTTTAACATCAGCCCTGACTAAAAAACAGTGTAAAGAACAAGCTGTCAGAACAAAAGTATTTCATTTTTTTTTATCAGTTCAGGTTTAACAGCACATATTTAAGTATAAAAAACACTTGAGGTGTGCTCAATTCCGCTATGATTCTATTCAAGACATTTTTCCTTTTATGTCTAAACTCCTTCAAAAGCATTTAGCTAAACAACTATGCCGCCACCTACAGGACAATAATATAATTCCAATATTTCAATATGGATTAAAAACTCATTAGAGCACTGAAACAGCTCTAGTCAAAGTCACAAGCAGCTTGTCATTTACTACAAGTTTCTGATATTTGACACAATAGACCCCAACATTTTACCACAGAGGGTAGAAAGTGACATTGGTTTCAGAGGAACAGCACTTGGCTGGTTTGAATACTATTTATTGGATCGCAACCAGTTTGTTAACGTGAACCCAAACTATTCTAAAGTAAAATTGGGTGTGCCACAAGGATCGGTACTCGGCAAAATTTTCATTCCATTTTATATGCTGCCATTAGACAACATCATTAGATAGCCTGACACACAGCTTTACCTGTCTATCAGACAGATTAATTAGAAAGGCTTAGTGCCTGCATAAAGGATGAGTTACAGTTAAACAAAATTATGCTTAAAACTACGCATATTTTTGTTGTTGCAAAAATAGTGAGAATAGTATGAAGTTAAATTTAAAACATTGTAAAAGGCAATTACTACAGCTACGCTGAGCAATAGCCAATAGAGCATTGGCATACAAATATTTATACTACTATTTTAGTATGTTTTCAAAATATTCTTATAGTCTTTTGGAAGAGTCCTTAGAACAAATAGACTTGTACAGCTTTGTGTGGTAAAAAGCAGCACCTGAATGATGTAGACTTCTTCTCGACCGTTGAACCAGACTTCAAACTTCTTCATGTCACCTTTGACGTTCTCAGTGATGCCCACAGAGCTCATCTATAAAGACACGAAGACACACACTGAGCTTAATGCGTGTGTCTATGATCAGGGATAGATGTTGAAGAGGGAGTTATCTGACCGAGGGCCTGTCCTGAGGCCAAAACAACTTTGAATTGATGAGCGATAAGATTATATGAGGGAGATTTCACATAATCACTCACAAGTTGGAATATTAAGATTGGCGTGTCCTTACTAATTTATTTAACCACTAGGGGGCAATAGAATGCTTTTAAAACATTGAGGTTCACATAAAACTGTTGTTCTGAGCCCTAATAAACAGGTGAAGACATTGTTCATGCTCCAACTGAAAATTGAAGTGACTGCTATTTCATAAACTGACTACAGCTGAATGATTGAAAAGTATTTTTGATGGGATGACTAAATAATGCAGACAAGGGGGCTGCTCTTGTCACATGGATGATTCATTCCTTTTTAAAATAAACTTATCTCCTAACAATATAAAGGCAACATGGATCTACGACAGGAAACCAACGTCTAATTATCGGCCTATTCGATAGATTATATGTAGGGTTTAAAATGGTAAACATTCATAATGCTACTGAAAACTCAAAAAAATAAGTTCATAAAAAAGTTTCTGCATAGAAGCTAAAAATAAGTTGTGTGTGTGCCATCAGTCTTGTTTCTCATATTTTGTAAAATGAGACCACAACTTCCTGACGTTAACCCATTTATCTTATCTCTAGAAAACATTTTTACATACCGAGAGATGAGGGCGGGTCATCTCTTTCACTACAAAAGCGGGTCTAATGATACGACAGAGGCCAAGAATACATTTTGTGAAACTAAACCAAACAGTTTTGAGAGATAAAGAATAGTTAGATGGATTTTTATTACAGTTATTGATTTAAGTTTCAAACTCCAGGCTTAATAGTAACAAGATCGTCTTTAAAATGTGTTTCCTCAACCTCAACATTTAGAAAGTTCTAGATAAATATTATTTTTTATCATTATTGGTGTTTGACAGACCAGAGTCACAGAGCGCTTTACAATTGTGATCATTTGTCTCTCACTCCACACAGAGATGGGAGCGGGGTCGCCAGTACAGGAGGCGCATGCCAGACCTACTGTACGTATTGTATGTTTTTAGTGGTAGGGAAAACCGGAGCACCCGGAGGAAACCTACGCAGACACGGGGATGTCTTGTGTGAGCTATTTCATTTATGTTAAGAAAAGTGTTAATTACTCAAAAAATACAAAAATACTTTGTTCTTTGCTAATTTAGAGGCCTTACAAAAGCATTTTGAATCAGATAAAAAAGTATCATGGTACTAAAACCATGAATGAATGAATGAATGAATGAAAGAACGACAAAAATAATGGCAGACCTTGAGTGAGTGTTTGAAGCTGTAGGAGGGAGTCTTCTCGTGGCCTTCATTTGTTTCCTCTCGTTTTTTACAGAAGAGCAGCATCTTGTCATAGAGGAACAGGTGCCTTTGCATGGGCTTGAACCGGGCCAAGTCCTTCACCTGCAAATGCACGTGTGAAGCTGCTTAGAAGCACTGGATACAGCCATCAAAAGTCTGAAACATTACGGGGGCATGTTTTTTTCTGAAATGTCTGACAAAATGGCATATCACCATGCAGTCTTTAATTCACCCACCATGAGTTCTCTTTCTCTTCTCTTATCAAATCTCCATGGAAACAATGTACCATTTAGGAGGTTCAAAGAATCAGCAGGAGGACTTACATAAGAAGCAGTAAGAAGTGTGATATGTTACCTTGCTGTGTCCCTTCTTGTGGTCCGTCCACACACTGAAGGATCCTTGCATTAGCAGCTTCCCCAGCTCACTCAGGTTTCCCTGTCAAAGCATATTAACATACATTAAGCCTAACATGCACAGATTCAAATGTAAATAGTTTTGTAGATTTAAATAAAGGCTTTTTATGTAGGCATACATAATCTTTTAGGACTTCATTGAAATCAGCCTTCAGACGTAAGAATTTGATATTTTTTATGAGCTGGGTTATTGTGTGAGAAGCTTAAGCTCCCTTCCTCATTGCTTGGACATTAGATTATGCTTATAAAATGGTCTCATGTTTTGAATCATGTCATATTTTTTCTGCCTACTGTACTTCTTACTAGTGCATGAATTATGCTTGGATCCATCTTAGTTATTAACTGGCTCCTGTTTGATGGTCCAGACCTTGGGAGTTAATAAGTCTCTAAAGTTGGCTTGAGATTGTTATCTTCCTCCGGGTTACTTAAACATGATATTGCCTCATAGCTGTGATGGACATAGGGATCTTGAGGAAGTTTAGGTCTGGATTTCTGAGAAATCCCCATCACCTTCTGACATTATTACCAAAATGCCATCATTTTGCAATCATATCTGGACATCCACTCCAATAACATGCATGAAAATAGATAAAGTAGGCCATAAAGAATAAGAAAGTAAAATAAAATAGACATTGTGAATATATTTTATCATCAACCCAGGACTACTTCCTGGTTTAACTTAACACATTTTCACAGTTTTATTAACAAACTGTTACCTGATTGATGCCAAACTATCGTATATTTACAACAAGTATAGGCCTAAATAAAGTAAACATCAAAAATGATTTCGGTTTTAAATGGTTTAATGCTTCAATTAAACCATGAAACATGAGCTAATGTACACTGTTATACGAGCATTCATAGACTGTAGAAAGGAGTGGACTAAAAGAGCGCCGACCAATGCTGTAGTGTACCTCTATCCAACTCTGCTCCATACCTTCCTCTTGTGGTGAAGAGTGTGCCCTCAGTCTGTTCACTTCAATTGAATGAGACTAGTGAGGTCATATTTGTATATTTACATCAACCCTGATTATTTTACTGTGCAGTCAGTGCCATAATTATAAAAAAAATTGAGCCAAAGATTTTGATAATTCTTGTGTGAATAAAAACGTCTTCATAAGAATCCAAAGTAAAGTTTTGGTAATAAACACGCACCTCAAATCCTGTGATAGCAATCTGATGCATTGAATCGTTGACAGATTTGATGATGTCCAGAACTGTAGCCAGAGCCTCCTCCAGCTCAGCACTGCCCTCTCCTTTACTGCACTTCAGCATCTCCTACAAACACAGCAGTACAAGCACTATGATCAGTAATAGTTATTGGAAAGGTAGGTTACACAACACTTTTCTCACAAGCAGATAAACAAACAATTATAAAAGTGTTGTTTTTTTGTGTTTTAGGAAGTATGTGACAAGGAATCCCAGTATATTGATTATGCTTAACATATTTTACTGTTTAGAGCAAGCCCCCAATGTCAAGGTGAGTCAATGTAAGTAATTCATCTCACTCACATTTTTATTTGTTTTGTTTGTATGAGTGGATGTGTTTCTGCTGCTACTGGATACCTGAATTTCTCTTACGAGGATCAATAAAATATCTATCCGTCTATCTATCTATCTATCTTGTGACATGATTCAAAGGGGAAAAACCTCTGTGTTCAAGTCTAATTAAAATGGAGACCAATTACACATTAGAATCCATGCATGCCAGCTTATGCATAAATTCATCAAAATAATGTCTCATGTTCCAACAATTCATTCATACATGTGTGCATAAGACAACGTAATGTTTGCTTATGTGGCTTTACGTCAACCTAAAACATGTTATCTGATAGCCGTGTTCAACCAACCGTGTTCAAATGTTGTGGGCATTTTTCCTCTCGCTCCACACAGAGCATAAAATAAACAAACAAGCTGTTTTCCGTAATTATAGACAGAGTGGTTCATTTCATGTCTGCAGTACAAAATACAGCACATGCAAGTCATCACATTTCCACATGAACATTTTGAAATCCTTGCCTTGAGCATGAGCTGGTATTTGGTTATCCGCTGGACCGGTTTCAGAAGATAAGCGTCTAGAGACAGTTTGTGGTCTAGTTTCTTCTGACATTCCTGAAATGAAAAGTCAAAACAAATGCAATATTTGCTATCGTCAACCAACTTGTGCAAGGAATGCACCTGGACATTCAATATGAGTCCTGATGAAAACAGCACATTGAAACCAGAACCAGCACATCAAACCAGAACTATTTACATCTGACTGCCTCTCACTCATTTTCTCTCAAGATATCTTACTTTCCCCATCAGAAGAGCACCGGCTTCGAACAACTTTTGAGCCATTGAGCACTCTTAGATTCTCGTTCTAATCAACTTGTGCAAGGTCTGACTAATCCTTCATATTCAGTTCAAATTCTCGGCAGTAAATAGGATAAACATGCAATAGTGTGTACAGTCGTCATTTATTCTGATGGCACTTAGTCAGAGATCAAAGTTTAATTGAGGGTTACTGCAAAAGTTACCTGGAAGAAGAGTGAATCTCCGCACTGTCTCCAGAGCACCTCAGAGCGCGGCTTGTTCTGACAGTATTTTTCATACACCTTCAGCTCCTCTTTCTAGAAAAAATAACAAGGTTACAATGAAAAATTCTGACATTAAATACAACTTTTCCGGAGCACAAAAGAAACTGTGAAACCTACCTAAAAAAAAAAAAAAACATATGTTGAAATCAATCAGTCATGCTCCTATTGATGAAATTTTGAACACTTCCCTTTTAAACTCAATTTGTTTGTACTTTTCATGTTATTGTAAATCTATTGTGTGTCTGTGTTTCTCTACCTGGCTGAAGACAATGGATGCAAATGTAGCGATTGTGCGAACTACAGTTATTGCACGTATATTGAAGCTGTTTGATGTACTTTCTTAATTCAAATAAATCAAACTAAACTACACTAAAGAGCTATATCAAGAATTGCAGCATGCATGTGATGTGAAAACTCACGAGGTTCGCTCACACCTGCCAAACCCCATAGCAAACCACAATCATTTGCACTTTTGACCTTTTTGTCTTTTTTCCGTCTGCTGTATTGTATTTAAATTTGTAGCCTTTATTAAAGTTGTTTTTATAAATGTAAGGTGCATAAATAAACTTTATTATTATTAGTATCCCAGGTGGAAATTTAGATTTGTATTATAAGTGACACCATTTATTGCCAAATGAACGTAAACAGAAAAACAAAAAAATCCTGATAAACCTCCATCTCCCAGTTCTCAGTATTTTCTCTTTATCATCTATGGCAGCTTGGAGTCTTTTGTGGCAGTTGTGAATTGTGTTTATTTATCCTCTCTGATGGTAAAGATGGCCTCAGAGAATAGAGAATAGCAGCTCTCCTTGTGTACAAGTCTCTCCGTGGCCTCGCACCAAATAACAACCGTGACATATTAGTGACATACGAACCAACTCAAACTCTGAGGAGCAAACAGTTTCCTGAAATTTGAGACAGGCTTTTACAATGTTCAAATCCGGGTTCAAACCGGTTCTGTTTAGCTAGAGAGAGAGAGAGAGAGAGAGAGAGAGAATTGACCTATTCTACTGGTTATTTATGAATTTAAGCACTATAAGTTGCATTGTGTAAGAACTGTGCAATATAATTAAACAGCTACATAATTCATTGTTCTGGTGTATTGTTGCGTTTTAAGCTCATTCATTGGCTTAATTTAAGTGTTCTCTACACCAAAACCCACGAATACCTGTCTTTAACTATTTACAAATTATATTTATGTCTAAGAAATCGGAATTAGCTTGCACTTTCAAATTGCACCTGTGTCCTTGAAATAGAGTAAATGCATAAAAATGACAGAGCCAGGTGTTACCTCTATCACAAGTGTAAGTTTCTATATCAACAGCTCTATAGTGAAACCAGAGCAACTTTCCAAAGACTGGCCAGGCTTTCAAAAAATTCAATACAAATTAATTCTGAAGAATTGGCACACATTGAGGCAATAGACTTTTGTTATCCTTTTGGTGTACAATAACAGGCTATAGTATTTTACGTCCTGTCCTGGATCTCTCATTTACTTACTCTCTTGAGAAAGCAGGTTCCCACGAGCTCTGGTTTCTCTGCACAGTTCTCCAGCTCTCCTCGAAACGTCCTGAAGTTCAAGACAAAAGAAATCCCATCACAGAACAATATACACCAAAGGATTTAATTTTCTGTTGAGCTAAAAGGAGCTAATGCAGGCTGAATGGTTTGTATATATACAGTAGATACAATCACAAAACATATTCTTAAGCATTACTCACAAATCTCACAGTTGATGTCATTTTATCACTATGACATCATGTTCAGAGTATTGGCAATTTGCATGTTATCACACCTCTGTGTTTGCAGCAGGTCATTTTCAAATTTGGAAACTATAATAATAATAAACAAAGTATTCTCCAGGAAAGCATTTTATTTTCTATACTCAACATTATAATTGTACCGATTAGTTCAGTCAATGTCCGTTTGATTTCACTCCCTGTTTCCAACACGTTATGCTTTCTTTTTTTAAGGTATCAGTTATCGCTGTGAGTGATAGGGTCACCATGGATATAGTGGTCTATGAGGAGGCCAACAAAGGGCCACAACAATAAAAAAAAAAACAATTCACATATATACATTAATTTAAAAACCAACAAGGATTGAATTATATTATCTCTAATAGATTTAAAGCATCAATGGTAACGTACAGGCTGCAGAGGCTAAGAAAAAACATGATTTACTCTTTACATACTGTAAACTGATAGCAAATCATTGCAGGGACAATATGTAGGCACTGCTTAAATGAACTTTGCACCTGCAGCGTCTGGATGATTAATTTTACCCCTGCTGTCATAAAGTGTTACAATACATTCATTCATTTTCATTTTCAAGCCCTTTATTGTCCATTTCTGGGTCAGGGGAGTGGCAATGAGAACTGCCACCCATTGCTCATAGCACCAGTCCCTCGCTGATCCTCTGCAGGGGGTGAGTCCACAGGAAGATGGCTGCTCTGTCAGTGGTGAAACAGCCTTGGTCTTACAATACATTGTTTCTGATACAATATTTATTACATGAGAAAAATAGGATATGGTTTTTCAAAAATATAATCTCTGCCGGAGTACAGGTGAAACTCCGGGAGATTAGAATATTGTTCAAAAGTCGTTACCATTGAATTTAAAACATGAAGCTAATATGACTCTTTACACACACAGTGAGATACATCAAGCCACTTAACAGGAAATGAGCCAATGATTCAGGCAGATTCTGAACTTAGAAATAGAACAAATCGTATTAAACAGTAAATAGTAATGATGTTGTGTGTTTTGATGATAGTATGTTGAAAACCCAAAAACATTTAATGTCCTTATTCAATTCTGGAGATACAGTAACTGTAATAATTATACTCAGTTCAAGTTATAATCAGTTCATCCAATTTGTCTTTTAAACAATAGCTGAAAAAAAAAAAAAACATATTTTACAATTACAATTTAATGGAATGACGTGGGGCAACAGTATAGCTCAGTTGGTAAAGCATTGGCCTTAAAGGAATAGTTCACCGTTTTTACATACTGACATATGTTCTTACCTTACCTTAGACTAGTTAATACGTACCTGTCTGGTCTTAGTCCGTGCGCTCTGTCATGCAAACGGAGCAAAAACGGGAGCACAACCGAAGCCTCCTCTGTATACTGTGTAGGACCAAAAGGTAGCTCCCGCTAGAAGCTACCAAACTCTTCCAAGTGTTCCCTATTAAATGTATATAGTTACGTGACGTGTTACACTGCAAAGTATAGTAACACAGAAATGTAACAGTCGATTTTCTCAGCGGATAAAACGGGGTACTATATTGTTACTCGCTGCTACTGTGTGTATTACAAGTCACGCTGCTTCTATTGTCGGAAGTGAGCGAGAGAGAAGTCTCCGGAGAGAAGTTAGTGCGCGGACGTAGCGCCCCTCAGATTACTACGCCTCACAATATAGTACCCGTTTTATCCGCTGAGAAAATCGACTGTTACATTTCTGTGTTACTATACTTTGCAGTGTAACACGTCACGTAACTATATACATTTAATAGGGAACACTTGGAAGAGTTTGGTAGCTTCTAGTGGGAGCTACCTTTTGGTCCTACACAGTATACAGAGGAGGCTGCGGTTGTGCTCCCGTTTTTGCTCCGTTTGCATGACAGAGCGCACGGACTAAGACCAGACAGGTACGTATTAACTAGTCTAAGGTAAGGTAAGAACATTTGTCAGTATGTAAAAACGGTGAACTATTCCTTTAAGGCCTGAAGGACGTGGGTTCATTTCCCACCTTGACACCGACTCCCACTGATGTCTGCAGTCGTTGTGTCCTTGGGCAAGACACTTAACCCCACTTTGCCTGAAGCCCCCGCTGAAAGATCTCAGCTCCTGTGGACTCACCCCCTGCAGGAGGATCAGTGAGAGGCTGGTGCTTTGTGTACTGGGAGCAGCTCTGACTGCAACCCCCCGACCCAGAAATGGATTAAGGGAAAGAGAATAGATGGATGGATGGAATGACGTCCACAAATATAAACAATGAATATCAGAACATCTATTTTAATTGAGAGAAATACAACATACTTGTTGTGAAATTCATAAATATCAGGGAGGTTTCCAAACAGCACGTCTCTCTTGTTCTCCAGCGATGGGGGGATGAGGTGGCTCAGCTCAGAATTGTCCAGTTCGATGTAGTACCCCTGTAAACATCCACAAACATGAATGGTCTGACGGGATTTGTGAAAGCCAGATCCTGTCAGACCTCTAAAGCTAAGTTAGTACTGTGATGGGAGACCTCTGGGGACACCATGTGCAACAGTGGGGGTAGCTGCACCTGTGCCAAACTGCCACTGTGTCTTGAGGCAAAACACTTCACCCACATTGCCTAGAATGAGTCTGGTGTGTGCGTGAATGTTTGGTGGTAGTCAGAGAGTGGATGGCCTATACTGGCTGCCTCGTTTCTGTAAGTGTGCAGTGAATTAATAATGTCATGTGAACTTTTTTAGTGTCCATAAAAGCGCTTGTGTAATAATTTTAGAGGACTTTGCTGGTGCTCTTGTCTGTGTCTATTTTGGTTTGTCTAAAGGTCTATGTTTATAGTTTAATGTCTACAGTGGTGTATGTAAACGTATGTGGCGTAAAGCATGTGAACCCCTGTTCCAAGACATATTCCTCCTATGGGAGACAATAAAGAACGATCTTATCTTAAGTTGGGCCTAAATGGTTATCTTTGGAGTTTATGACAGAGATTAGTTTATGACAGAGATAATGAAGTGGGTAAGTGGCTTTGACAGTGATGATTCAGGACATTGAAGGACATTTATGATCATCCCGCCCCCCAATGGATCAATGTGTTTGTCATAATTGGATTTCTTGTGTTTGGGCTGTTTTTGGTGAATCGACAACTTTATTTAGGGCTACATATGAATAATTTGAATTGAATTATATGTGGCCTGAATGCCTTTACCTCCATGATGCTCTGAAGTTCTTCCACATAAAGCCTCTCCGTCTCTATCAGCTCCGTCATGATGTGCCTGAAAAGCAGTTTTATGGTAATTAAATATATCTAATTTCAACCTGAAAAGAACCATGACAGCTTTTGAATTCTGCAATAAGGTGGAAACAGATTTAACTGATAAAGCATTTGAGTGCACCCACTAAAAGCAATGAGGGTAAAGAAGCCGGAGAAAAAAAAGAGGAAGACTGGAGGATAAACAGCGCCCTTCACAGCACAGATAAGAGACTGGACTGATAAATATTTAGCCAGAGTAAAAGTGTCTAATCGTGATTTAAACCGCCCAAATGACCAGACCGATGACTGGCTTATGTGTTTTCTGTTCATGGAATTTAAATGGCAAGGCAGGTTTATCTGTATAGCACTGTTCATACACAAGGCAACTCCAAGTGATCAACAAAACAATTTAGAAACAATCACAAAAGGCACTAAAATCATAATCACTGTACAATAAAAAGAGTAGAGATAAAGTCAGTTGTATGCACAGCTAAACAGAACTGTTTTGAACCTGGATTTGAACATTGTCAGCGAAGAAGCCTGTCCCACATTTTCAGGAAGTCTGAAATGGCGATGCAGGAAGCAGGGCGCTCAAATGTCCTGTGCTACTTCCTTCTATGTAGTTGAAGATAACTCTCCTGTCCTGGCAACATCACTTTTGTCCAGGCCTTGTATGAGATTGCCAGTGGGAAAAGTGGTCCCAGCACCCCGCGGGTTTGGGAATAGGCAATAAAACAAGTATTTATACTTCTTACTGCCCTCTTGTGGCTGGAGTTGGGCTTTTAATATAATCCCTGGGAATAAAACATTGACACAACAGAGGGATTATATCTTTGCTCTTTTTAATGCACAGTGGTTTGATCTTGTGTGTGATTTTATTGTTTTAAGATTTTGAATTACTTGTGCTGATTTTATTCTCTGCTTTTAATATTTCTTAATCCATCCATCCATCCATCCATTTTCTTCCCCTTAATCCATTTCTGGGTTGGGGGGGGGCGGCAGTCAGAGCTGCACCCAGTACACATAGCAAACATATTTCTTAATGTTTGCTTTTAATCTTTTGTATGTTTATGTAGATTTTGATGTTTATGATTTATGCTTGATGTGATATGGGTTGAGAGGCTTTGTGTTTCCTTGTGTAGGAACGGCGCTCTACAAATACACTATCCAAGAGACAACTCCAGTCCACAGATGGAAATCATGAAACTACTCTGGCACAAAAACTTCTGAGGCGCAGCAAAAAAGTCCACAGAAGCCGGTGACTAAGGCTAAAAGCACTTCCTTTAACGAAATTATAGCAGGGAATGTTTCTCACAAACCAGTTTCTGTCCCTTCATTATGAAACGGTGTGGAGCGTCAATGTGAAAAATTCAACTACTCGGTCAACAGTGTCTCTATTCTTCTGTCTATAATGTGAGCAGGCAGGTTTAGAGTAATTTAGGTTAGAGACAAAATCTAGGTTAAGTTTGCTCCACTGGAGTTTTGTGTACAGTTGCCAGAAGTGGGTGAAATGTGAATCGTTGCCTGTTGTATATTTCCATTTTGATATGAGCTCTTTTAATAGATTTAAAAATAGCTATGATCAGGCTGAGAATTGGCAAGGCACGTTAATTTGTAATTTCCCAGATACTGAATACATTGTATGACAACTTATTCATAAATTATTCATACATTGAAGTAAAAGGTTCCCTGAAATTGTGGGCACCAGTATTGTGGGTGACTGTATAGTGATATTGCCATATTACAGTTTTATTTACAATTTATTTTTGGTAGCGGTACAATTTGTTTGGGTATTGGGACCTTATCTTATCTTTGAAAAAAGTAAATACATTTCATCTTTTTAGGCTGTAGTATAACAACATAAGCCACTAGATCGCACGTGCAGGATCCTCAAATGGAGGACAACCTTTGAAAACATGCTGCCCACAGAGCTGATAGCAAGCAATTATGAAACCAAACATGCACTCATGTAGAGAGAGAGAGAGAGAGAGAGAGAGAGAGAGAGAGAGAGAGAGAGAGACCAGTTTTGAAATGTAGACCGTACATCCATGAATGTCTGTTATTTTTAATGTAATATCACAACATCAGCCTGCCCAGGGACTACGGGTGGAAAAAAGCTCTTGAGCTATAACCTGGCACAAAACATCTTTCCCTTTGAGGTTAATGTTTATTGTATGCTGCCCCTGTCATCTTAAATAAATAAACTAAACTAAATTAAACTAAATCTTGCAACCGTGGGACAAATAAACGTCTATTGAATCTTATCCTATTTCTGTTCAGAGATAGAAAGTTTTTGTTGAAGAATGAAATATTCCTGCAGAACTAAAAACACATGGCTTACCAGATCTAGCACAAAAAAATCCATCGAACATGTAAAACAACTTTAGTATTTATTCAAAAACAAGTGCAGTTGCTATTTGGTGTTTGCACTGGAAGACGGTTAAACTGAAATCCTGCAGCTGAAAATAGTGGACTGATCTCCAAACATGTGGAAGGTGACTCATTCTGAGAGTAAACGTACAGTAATTGCCCGGTCACTCAGATTTTCCTGGACACAAACTGAAAGAAATCTTAGGCCCGGAAATGTTGTATGTCTTTTGAGTTATGGAATATACGATAACCCTAACCATACGAAAGACCAGGAATGTGTTGCTGTGAAAAGCATTATGTGGAGCTAAAATGCAGTTTGTAATTAAAAATATATAGTTTGCACATTAAATAATACTCTACCTCTCAAACTACGTAATTTACCATGTAGTATTATGTGCAATGCTACAGTTAGTGTTAATGTGTAACATGATATCACATTGTGTCCACTGAATGTCACTTTTTAAGCTTTTTTCTTTTTTCATGCTTTTTTATTATTTTCATAATACTAACAGTTGTATTATGCAAATCTTTACTATTGCAAATATTAGTTAGTTGCAGTTTCTTCTGCTTTTGAGTTTCTCTTAAATCTTGTTCTTGGCTTAAATTCCTATTCTTGTAATGTGCAATTCAACATTTCTCCATTCTGAGACCTAGAAGTGTTATCTTATCTTGTCTTGCACATAGCTACTATGGTAAAAAATAAATAAAAAAAGATTGTTAAGACATATGCAAACTCCACTATCAACAAAAATAGAAGGAGCCAGACTCACACTCCACCCCATTGCCCCCCCCCCCTCCCCTCACTCTCTGTGGGTAGGCCCCCACCCATGCAACGCTTCAATTTCTCACATTTACGTCTCCAGGCATCAGCGAGGCAACAGTTTCTCGGAGAAGAGCTCGTATGACTGCAGGTTTAAACATGGGTGTTTAAGCCACCATTTTGGAGTAAATGTTTAGTTTAAGTTCAAAAGGAAAACCTAACACTGCTGCCCTAAGGGTAAGTCTACTTTTATTAATACTGATTTGGGTTAGAATAGAAGTGAAACTTCTACTACTACTACTACTACTACTACTACTACTACTACTACTACTATACCACATCTATCAGTACAACACAAACCATTTCAAGACACTTATTCACCCATTAATCTTAAATTAATAAATAAGTTAAGACTATTACTTATTTGTCTGAGACTCTAAGCTCAAACAACAGCAGAAAAATGACCACATAAGGACAACATGTGGGATTAACTATTTATTTAAACATATTTCACCAACACTGGATGTATCTTAGCAAAGAAATATTGTGTGTGACATTTGACATTGACAGACATTTGAGAAATGTCTGTTCAACTATATAAACTTTTTCCTTTTACTTGTTTACTCTTACATTAATTCATGTTGTTAAGCTATGATTCAAGTAATTTGATAGTGTATATATATATATATATATATATATATATATACACATTTTCATTTGTAGTTATCCACTGTCAGTGAAACAGCGAGTAAGCCTGACCAAAATATAAATAAATGTTGGCTTCAGAATAACATTTTTGGATGGGTGCGCCTATCCTAAGAGCTTATGTCCTTTTTAAGGCTGTAACTCTTGCTGTTTGGATCAAACTGATCGGATTTCCCTTATATTTGATTATAACAGCTTCGTACGTAAAGCAGGGGGCGGGGCTTCACACCATCTGCTGTCATCTCTCCTGTTTTAAGATGGATTATGGGATATCTAATCAGTAAAACGTCACTGATTAGATATCCCCTTAAAAAAAAAAAAAAAAAAACTTCTACTTTTATACTTCAATTATTATTGGGGCTAAAAACTTTAAATAAAGTCTTAAAATAGCTTAGAATCTCCCCTATATAGGAATTTAAAAGAGCAAAGATAGAGAGTGTAGTGTTAAATGCAAAATTTCAGGCAGATTCCACAGAGCAATCCTTGGAAGTAGATCTGATATTTTCACTTCATTTTCACAATTGACATAATACACTGAAGCAAACAGAAAACACCAGGAGAATAAATGTTGAAGCCTTGCGAGTGGTTGGGTGGGCATTCAGTGGGTCACGCACCTGCAGCTCGTTGTGTTGCATCATGGACAATTTCAGGCTCAGTCATTTGCCCTTTCAGATATATTTTCTGATTAACTGTGAGGCCTGACCCAAGAATGTACTGGAGGCGGAAGCGGGATCATAAAACTAAGAAAATGTAAGCAAGGTAACAAGTTCATTTTTACTATTGATAAACAAGCAAACAAAGATCATTTGGAGAAGACCACTCTAGGTCACTAAAGATTTTAGATAATTAATCTTAAATATTGGTTTTGACAATACATTGATATATGGGGAGATATAAACAGACAAGGAATTCCAGTGGGAACAATTGATTTCTTCATAGTCTTCAATGGTTGAAGTTCAGTGTAAAAACGACGGGTGATCCCAATTGATCTTGTAACCAAAAGTAACTAAAGTAATTAAATGTTAATATAAGAAGACTAGGGATTGATTGGACATCCCCACATCCAATAGGACATTGTCTATGTGTCTATGTGTTAGGGAAGGCAATGGGTTAATGTAATGAGGAATTGAAACATTATCAGATCCACAGATGACCTTAACTTTGTACAGTGTAGTGCAAAAAATACCAGCCAGTATATTGTCTTGCACAGGAAAACTAACTATTTTAAATCACAGAACACAAAAGTCACAGGAAGGAAGCATTTGTTCACTGTCAGCATTCTGAATGTAGTAAATCCTCAAACGAATCCGATTTTGGAAATGAAGTTAAATTACAGCTATGGAAGTGATACCATCTTGGTAAAGCACGATTATCACAAGAACTGACTTTAAAAATGGCATAGAAAAACATCACTGCATTTTTGCACACCTTACCTTAAGAGCGATCTTTTATGTTGAGGAAAGTTATGCGTAGCTTTTCACAATAGACAAGGTAAAGATCAAGTGCTTTGGATTTTGCCCTTGTTGGTATGTTGAATAGCCCCTATATTGATAAAGTTAAATAATAGTATATTTCTTGTTGACAATATAAATAAAACCATTAAATACAACAGTGTGCCACCACAAATGTAAGGTAAAAATGAGGACCAATGCACTAGTGGTTTAATGAATTTACAAAACATGACTATCTTTTGAGTATGAAAATGGTTATAAACAAAGTGCATGACACTGGAGGCTGAAACTCATCCATCTATTATAAATTATGATGTTTATGTCACACTCACATGACAAGCATTTGGAAATCACCATATAGGCACATTTCTTCAGTGACACTGTGGGTATAATGCATCGTAAAGAGGAAAGAGTGAACCGAATGTTCCAGGACACGACTGAAAATATGTAAATTAAAATTTGAATTTAAGATTTTCATATTATTAGAATCACAAATGCATGTAAACACACTTATTTACTGAGGGCTCTCTGCTGACTTGTGAAATGCCACACACACCCAATATTTTAACACTATGGTGGCAACGGTGACAGTGGAAAAAAAAGTAAATATATTTTTCAGAATATCAGATTTTGTTTTATTGCCATTGAGTACCAAGAAGTCACAAACTAGGAACTTGCTTTGGCTCGTAAAAATAGAATAAAGGCATGCATATGCATAAAGAAGCTGTTCTCATGGCTTCTTCTTCTTCTTCTCTCATAAGTGGTATTTTATAGGATCATCATTGATTTGTCCATGTTTTTAATTATTTTTGTACTACCCTCAAACAAAGATGCTTTCGATCTTAAAAAGATAATATAATGTAGTTCTCTGGGGAGATCTCATCCAGAAGACTCCATACTATGTGAGTTGAAATTGTCATTATAATTTGAAAATAGAATTTTCTTTCTATAGCATTTTTACCTTTAACCTCAGTGAGTTTAAATAGTGCCAATATTTCCATCTAGAAAAGGCTGTTCTGCAGCAGGAGTCCTGTTCACTCTTCATCTCTCTCTGTGCTGTAAGCACTAAACACCAACACCCGCCACTGTGAATGTGGAAACACCGGTGAAGCACTGACTTCAGCCCAATCAGATGAACATATATATATCATATAAATCAACTGGACCAAGAGAGCGGCATATTCACAGTTTGTTTGGCTGCAGCAGAATATTGTAACGTGCCACAGCAGTGTTCCGTTTGTCAGGTTTATTGTTATGTTGACTGTTAAGTGTTGCACCATGACTGAGCTCACCATGTTAATTGATAGGGTCCTATGCTTTCAGTGTGTTAGGAGTCTAATGTTAAAACTGCAATAAAACTGCCTTCTCGGGGTCTTGCGGTGTATGTGGCACGAGTTGAGCAAAGAAACTCTATCTCCCGTGACTTATTTGACTAAAACGTCACATTGGTGTCAGAAGTGGGATAATTCCCATAAAAAGTGAAGAAATGGAGAGAGAGATTGAAGAGCTGGAACGCGCAGTACTGGAAAACTGCCGTCTTCTTGAGGAGGTTGAAGGAGCCAAGCCCAAGAGATTTCAGGAGAGACATGCTGCAGATGGGTACAGTACTGCAAGGCCACAGCGCCCTCTGGAGGCTGGTTGGACTCCTCCACACTCCGCTTCAGAGAACCAGAGCACAGAGAGACCACAGCGCCCCCTGGAGGCTGGTAGGACTAGTCCACACCACACTTCAAGTAAACAGACCATATTGAGGCCACGACGCCCCCTGGAGGCTGTCAGGAAAGATATAAGCTCTCAAACAGGCAACATAGAGCAGAATGTCCAAGTGAATGACTTACTAGGGGGGGGCTCAGCACATACTCAGAGGCAAACTGTGATAACACATGCCCCAAGACAGATGATTACACCAAAGACCCCTGCTAAACTACCCAAGTACAGTGGAACCACACCAGTAGAGCCCTTCCTTGCCCAAGTTAGACTAGCATCATGGCATAGTGGCTGGAGCGACGATGAAACTGCCACCCACCTTGCCTTGGCATTAGAAGGTGTCGCCCTTCAAATTCTCCTTGACTTGTCCCTAGAGGATCAGCAAGATTTACGGGCCCTGATGATTGGTCTCGAACGGCGCTTTGGAAAGCGCCTGCATGCGGAAGAGAGCAGGGAGCAGCTGAGTGGCCTATATCGGAAGGAAGGGGAAAACTTGGGTACCTTCGCGGCCAATATACAATTCCATACCCAGCGTGGTTACCCACAGTTTCCAGTTGCTGCACGTGACGAACTCGCACTTCATGCATTTCTCCAAGGTCTTACCCCAGAAAGGCTACGTCAATATGTGCGTCTTGCTCGCCCTCGCTGCCTGAATGAAGCTCTCCAGGAAGCTGAACGGGCGGAGATAGTGCTCTCCACACGGCCAAACCTGGGAAGGGCCACAAATATGCTGCAGCGAGTTCGCCATGTGGATTATGAAGAAGTCGGAGTTGAAGAAGTTTATCAGCTCCGTACTCCAGCCCCCAGGGGGCGTCGCAGAACTGCCACCGATCGCTGTTTTCGCTGTGATGAACCCGGACACTTAGCTCGAAATTGCCCTGCACCATCCCCAAAAGCTAGGGAGCCACAGCCAACGGGAAACGATCGGGGGGTGGAGTAGAGAGGAAGACCCCACCCCAAAAACCTGCACCTCTACAAGGACAATGCACTGTGGTGGGCCAACCTGGTTGCTCAAAAGGACTGTACTTGGATTGCGTTGTAGATGGCCAACCCTGTCGTGCACTGATTGATACAGGGTCCACTATCTCGCTCGTACAGCCAGGAGTACTCCCTGGTACAACAGGCCCACTTTCCACCTCCTGGTCACCAACACACATGCAGCTCACCACTGTCACAGGAGAGAGGGCAGGTATGCAAGGAAAAAAAAGTGTGCGGATTGAAGTTCAAGACCAAATGTTGGAACACGAATTCTGGTTAGCGCGAATACAGGACCCTTGTATCATTGGATTAGACTTGTTAGTTCACTGGGGTGCTGTGGTTGACCTTGTGAAGTCGACCCTCACTCTTGGGCCTCTCACAGTTGATCTCCAGCCTGAAAAGCGGACAAGAAAGAGGCAGAGGACCCGGAAAGTCAGTCCAAGGGGGGTGGTTCCAGCGGTGGCGGTCCAGATCCAGGCGGTCCCAGCGGCGGCGGTCCAGGTGGTCCCAGCGGCGGCGGTCCAGGCGGTCCCAGCGGCAACGGTCCAGGCGATCCCAGTGGCGGCGGTCCAGGCGGTCCCAGCGGCGGCGGTCCAGGCGGTTCCAGAAGCGGCTGTCCAGGCGGTCCCAGCGGGGACGGTCCAGGCGGTCCCAGCAGCGGCAGTCCCGGTGGTCCAGGCAGTCGAGGTCCAGGCGGTCCCAGCGGCGGCGGTCCAGGTGGTCCCAGCGGTGACGGTCCAGGCGGTCCCAGAAGCGGCGGTCCAGGCGGTCCCAGCGGCGGCGGTCCGGGTGGTCCAGGCGGTCGAGGTCCAGGCAGACGAGGCCCAGGCGGTCCTAGCGGCGGCAGTCCAGGCGGTCCCAGTGGCGACGGTCCAGGCGGTCCCAGCGGCGGCAGTCCAGGTGGCCGAGGCAGTCGAGGTCCAGGCGGTCCCAGCAGCAGCGGTCCAGGCGGTCCCAGCGGTGACGGACCAGGCAGTCCAGGTCCAGGCGGTCCCAGCAGCGGTGGTCGAGGTCCAGGCGGTCGAGGTCCAGGCAGTCCCAGAACCGGCGGTCCCAGCGGCGGTGGTCCCAGATGTGGCGGTCCCAGCAGCGGTCCAGGCGGCAGATCACCGCTCTCCAACACCGGCTGGCGCTTGCACAGCCAGTCCCCGTGCCATACCACCCCCATCCACGGAGACTGTGAATGCTGTCAAAGAGCTGTGGCAGCGCAGTAGTGAGGGCCTAGATCAGTGTCAAAAAGAGCAGTTGAGACATCTCTTGGACAGGTATGTGGACATCTTTGCCGCTCGAGATGAGGACTGTACACAAACTCGGCTTGTCCAGCACTCTATTGACACTGGTTCGGCCCCCCCAATACGCCTTAGGCCCCATCGGCTCGCCCTTTCAAAGAGACAGTTAGCAGAGGACATGATCCACAAAATGCTTGCGGCTGGAATAATAGAACCATCCAGCAGTCCTTGGGCAGCTCCAGTAGTTCTTGTGCGCAAGAGATTGGGTGGGTGGCGGTTCTGTGTGGATTACCGTCGTCTCAACGCGGTCACAAAGAAGGACTCTTATCCACTACCCCGCATCGACGATGCTCTGGATTACATTAGTGGATCAAGTTGGTTCAGCTCCCTCGACATGCGAAGTGGATATTGGCAGGTGGAGCTCAGCCCCCAGGCCAGGGCAAAGACTGCATTCACATTCGGGCAAGGACTCTGGCAGTTTCGTGTAATGCCATTTGGCCTGTGCAATGCGCCGGCCACGTTCGAGCGTCTCATGGAGCGGGTGCTCGCCGACATTCCTCGCAGCCATTGTGTGGTGTACCTGGATGACCTGCTAGTCCATGCGAGTGATTTCAGCAAAGCTTTGGGCCACCTGAGCGGCGTCTTCAGTTCTATTCGTCACGCTGGTCTGCGGCTGAACCCTGCCAAGTGCCACCTTCTGCAGAGAGAGACTACTTTCCTGGGTCATGTGGTCAGTGCTGAAGGAGTAGCGACTAACCCAGAGAAAAGTAGCGGCTGTCCAGGATTGGCCGATCCCGGTTAACGTACGTGACCTCCGCAGTTTCTTGGGACTGGCGTCCTACTATCGCCGCTTTGTCAGGAACTTTGCCTCTGTCGCAGGGCCCCTACACCGCCTGACGGACAAAGGAAAGCCTTTCGCTTGGACTAACAGCTGTGACACTGCTTTCAACCAGCTAAAAGCAGCCCTCACAGCCGCGCCCATCCTTGCGTACCCGCACGTAGATCTCCCCTATGTGGTGGACACAGACGCTAGTGGCACCGGAATTGGGGCTGTCCTTTCACAGCAGGGAGGCGAAGGAGAGCGAGTAGTGGGGTACTACAGTCGCGCTCTCAGTCGTGAGGAGAGGAACTACTGTGTCACACGCCGAGAGCTGTTAGCCGTAGTGATGGCAGTACACCATTTTCGCCCCTATTTGCACGGCAACAAGTTCCTCCTGCGCACAGATCATGCCTCACTGACCTGGCTTTTAAGTTTCAAGCAGCCAGAGGGACAAGTAGCTCGTTGGCTGGAAGTTCTCCAAACTTACGATTTTGACATTCAACATCGCCCTGGACAACAACACAATAATGCGGATGCCCTGTCACGACGCCCGTGTGTTATAGCAGAGTGTCGTTACTGCGAGCGCCAGGAAGAGCGGGATCGGGACAAGCCGAGGGTTTCCACTGCCACAATTAACCCCCCTGATGACCTGTCTTCAGAACAGCTGCAGCAACAGCAAGAGTCCGATACCACCCTGGCCCTGATCAGGAAGTGGCTGGAACTGCCCAGACGTCCTGAATGGCCGGCAGTCTCCCCCCATGGCACTGATATTAAGGCCTATTACTCTCAGTGGGGAAACATTGAGCTTCGTAACGGCTTGCTGTTCCGGAGGTGGCGGGCTCCAGGGCAGGGCAAAGACATCTTACAGTTATTAGTGCCCCGTTCACTTCAACCTCAGGTCCTTCAGAGTGTGCACGGTTCAATCGGCTCAGGCCACTTTGGCATCTCCAAGACCCTCCATCGGCTTCGGGGACGTTTCTACTGGCCCGGCTGCCGACAGGACGTGGAAATACATGTGCATTGCTGTGATTTGTGCACTGCTCGGAAAGGTCCCACCCAGCGCTCACATGCCCCCCTTCAGCAATACCTGGTCGGGGCTCCAATGGAACGAGTAGGTGTGGATATTCTTGGGCCCTTTCCTGTGACCGATACTGGAAACCGCTACGTCCTAGTAGCCATGGACTATTTTACGAAGTGGCCGGAAGCCTATGCTGTACCAGATCAAAGTGCCGCCACAACAGCTGGAAGACTGGTTGATGAGATGTTCACCCGTTTTGGAGTGCCCTCTGAGCTTCATAGTGACCAGGGGCGGAACTTTGAATCCCAGGTGTTCAGTGAAGTTTGCAGACTGCTCGGAATTAAGAAGACGCGGACAACTCCTCTCCACCCCCAAAGTGACGGTCTAGTGGAGAGGTTTAATCGGACTTTGGCTACCCAACTTGCTATCCTGGTCAGCAAGCACCAGCGTGACTGGGACCGTTATCTTCCCCTCGTCCTCTGGGCCTATCGAACTGCAGTCCAGGAGTCCAGTCAGTGCACCCCAGCTGCTCTCATGTTCGGTCGAGAGCTCCGCACACCCGTGGATCTGGTGTTCGGGAGCCCTCCGGAGCCCGAGATTGCAGGAGGGCACGAGATGGACTATTTCCAAAGACTCAGAGAGCACCTGCGGGTGGTGCATGACTATACTCGCCAAGTTCAAGCCAGTTCCGGGGTACGTCAGAAGAGGGCCTATGACAGTCACTGCCGCGGTCAGCCCTTCCAACCTGGGGACAAAGTGTGGGTTTATTGCCCCGATCGAAAGAAAGGTATCTCTCCTAAGCTGTGCAGTCATTGGAGGGGGCCAGCCGAAGTTGTGGCACGCCTGTCCGACGTGGTATACCGTGTACGCATGCCAAACAAGGGCCGTTTTGTGGTATTGCACAGAGACCGGCTAGCTCCGTACCGCCCCTATGCTCCTGAGACTGTTGGTGAAGTAGACGGATTACTTGTCCAAGCCCCCCAAGTTCATCTGTCTCCCAGACGCCCAATTCGCCAACGTCGTCAACCTGGTCACTTGAGAGACTATGTGTTATGTGATGGGGTTGTCGGGGACGACTAACCCGCTCTGGTGGGGGTTATGTAACGTGCCACAGCAGTGTTCCGTTTGTCAGGTTTATTGTTATGTTGACTGTTAAGTGTTGCACCATGACTGAGCTCACCATGTTAATTGATAGGGTCCTATGCTTTCAGTGTGTTAGGAGTCTAATGTTAAAACTGCAATAAAACTGCCTTCTCGGGGTCTTGCGGTGTATGTGGCACGAGTTGAGCAAAGAAACTCTATCTCCCGTGACTTATTTGACTAAAACGTCACAATATGTTTCATGCCCGCATTGTTTGTTCATACAAAACGCAAAACTATGAGTTATGGGTCTTACCTTATAAATGACCTGCACAAGTCACTTCGGTTCAGACCAGTTCCGTGTTTAAGTCCAGATAATAGTTTGAGCGTAGATATGTAATCCTCCATTTGTAAATGAGTCCAATGAGTTTTAAAAAGTAAAACAAAACGCGTGTGTCCTCCATAAACTCCTCTGTTTTGCTGCATCCAATTTCTAAAATCAACAGTCTTACACTTCACCTCTTTCTTATCATTCCTATAGTCATTGAAAAATTACCCTAAATGCATTTTAAATGATCTTAAAATGTGTTACATGTATGTTAGCCAAACCTGTTGCTGTCCTTAGCTATAAACCAGGAAGAGAAAGGAGCTTATTGATGGAATTGTATGCAGCCGACTTCTGCGCTCACATGCGCTCCTCTGAGGCTGACCTCACGGTGATACAAGCCGTGGTTGAGCGCGATTAAGACCAATATTTGTTTCAAAAACACAATTTATGAGCCATCCTCTCAACTGTAGACATGTAACCAGCCAATAATTGCTGAGAGGTTTTCTCATCCTCCCTTCTCTCATGACAACACGCGCACGAGTTCTATCACAAAGTAAAAAGAGAAGTTCATTGTGCGTCTTGAGTAACGCGCAGTAACGGGATGTCGGAAATGATAACGCCGTTATAGTTACAGTCAAAGTAACAAAGTTATTCCCATCACTGACAATGATTAAAGGCGCTATACCCGTTTCTACAATGTTTGAATGTTTAGCACCGCCCCCCAGCTCGCTCACAGGCTTCTCATTTCCCCTACGCTCTCATAACACGGAGCCACCTAGTTTTATTTGCGATCTGATACGTATGCTAACATTAGCATTAGCGTAACTTGTAAGCTGTGCAACAATCACTGATGAAATGGTACTAAAGCAATGCACTGCTAACACAATATATAAGTAAAAGAATACGTTTCGCGTCCGGATGTATTAATTTAAACATTAGAATATATTCTAATATTTAATTATAATTTATTATACAGCTCCTCACAGCAGTAGAACACTCCATTCACTTGAATGCAATTCTTCCGATAATTTCTTCTTGATAACAGAACTCTCAAACCAATAATGACCGCAGCCCCAATGCAATCTGTTTGTAATTCAGGTGTGTAAAATACTGCCAATACTCTGCAAGTACAACAAGCTATCAGCGCCTGTCACTACACACTTGTCTGTGTAGAGAAACCAACGGAGCTAGCGGAGCTAGCCACGCTCAATAAACAAATACATATCAATCAATCAACACAATTAAACGTCAATCGGACAATACAGTATACAGATACATCCTTAACACACATGCACGGACGATTTCAGAATTTGCTGTCAACGTTTTCATGACAAAAATACTGTTTTAAAGTCACAAAAAGTGATCGCGAAAAACCCGGAAGTTACCATGAAACAGCTAGCTAGCTTATCTGTTACCTGCCTAGCACGTCCCGGTGAAACCTTTGGGAGCTAACTATTTTATTTGCAGTCATTAAATACATTTCTAATTATAAGGGTTGTCTAATATTTGTTCAAATATGTATATATTTTTTATTTTAGAATTATATTCGAATTTTGAAGTCGAAGCCCTGGTGTTGAGCAGCGCTGTAGAGGCTAGAGGACGCAGGCTGGTCGCTTCTTGTTCTGTGAGCGGAGGAGAAAGAGCGGCCCGCTCAGACTCTACTCAGCACTTTTCACTGCCTGAATTTCATACACAGTGGAATCAATGACCTCAAGTTTTCAATTAAATTATGTATTATGATACAACTTGTATGTAGTAAAAAGCATTTTTATGAACTACTTAGAAAAAAAATCGGGTATAGCTTCTTTAAGTAAATAAGCTTGTTATTGTTCATCACTTTTTTTTGAAAGCCTTCAAGGATGAAACATGTTCAACCCTCAGACCCTGTTATGTCCCTGACCCTGGTCAGTCTAAATAATAGAAGTGTTGGATTTGTTTTGTCGCTGGTATAGTCCACAGTTACACTTGCTATTGTTGGCTGCTTATGCTCATAGTCAGCTGCTCTTATCAGTGTTTCTCCAAAGCCACTTCATTGTGAGACTTTCTGCTGCATCGACACCAACGTTCGCATAACAACTGAAGCCAAAGCCCTTAGTGGACACAGTTAGAGATTGGAGGCCATTCAGAGGGCATGTATATTTAATAATAATACTAGAACACTAATAATACTAGAATAGAATGACAATAAAATAGATAAACACACAAAGTGTGTGGTCTATTAAATAGCTATACATATTTTGAACACACACACAGTATGTTTTTAATCATAATCTGAGGTACACACACTTTCAGCTTGATTCCTCTTTGAACCGCCTATAAAAAGTAGACCAAAGTGAAGTCAGTGATAACCATGCTGCTCTGATGATGAATACGAGTAAAAGACGAAGTATCTTTCTGATTCTGCCGAGTGTGCTTTTCGTCTGATTTTGCATGGGATTTCATGCAAATGAACAATGTGACACGTGTGTCTGATAAAAAGCCTCTGATAACATTTCTATGTTACAGTAGAAAGCAGAAGTTCCCATAATGTGTTCAGGACCAAGCAGTACCATAAACAAAGCAGTGGCCATAAACAAAATGCAGATACAAGGGGGGATAAAACTGCTAAAAAGTTAAAATAGCAACTCCAGACCACTCTTCCTCTTCAATTGTTTAAGGGAAATAGGTGGTCCTCTTTTTGGATGAAGTCTAATTAAGTACTAACAATTACAATCAAACTTGTCACCAGAACCTAACCTGCCTACATTTGCAATTCACCTGCTGGGATTCAGCTAGAAACGTACAAACACTATGTCTTATGACTATCTATCTATACATATGTACAAAAGAATAAATCGACATTAAATCTGTAGCTGTTGAACTAGAATGTGGGGACACATAAACGACTGCATCATAGATTACATTACAGTGATAAGAGAGTTTACATAGTATGTGAAAATATCCAATTTCCACTGTATTTGGCCTTTTTGTGTTGGGGCGGATCAAATCTAATAACTCAGTGTATCTCTAGACAACGTAACCAACATTACTTAGAATGAGTCTGGTGTGTGCATGAATGGTTGGAGGTGGTAAAAGGAGCCAGTGGCACAGGATGGCTGCCTCATTTTTCCACAGAGCAGGTGTAGCTACAGGAGTAGTTTACCCCCACTGTGTACAAAGTGAATAAAAAGTTCTATACAAGTATTAACTAATGAAATGTATTGGCTCTGGACTCAGTAACGACCAATTTGGTTCAACAACATAAAAGACAAAAATACCACAGCCTCTTGAAGCTCTCAGGAGCTTGTAAGTGATCCATCTCCAATCTACATTTGCATTTTATTACAAACAACTCTAAAACCAGCAATAAAAAAATATTTTCTGTAAATATATACTGTCAATAACTTTTTCCCCCTTCTATCTTTCAGGCAATCACACAAATTGAGATTATCCAACCGTCCGATTGCCACCAAGATGAATGAGAGACAATGCTTGTATCGACTTGCAATCTCACTATGAGGAAATTATTCTTTCCACGGAAGCACATCTGGACTGGTCAGAAGGCTATCCAAATTGGACGGGACGTGCAAGCTTTAGATTTTAAAGATTGAAACCATTATCATATTGTACCACTAGAATTATCCACCACTGATATTAGTACGCCATGTTTGTGAATTTACGCCGCATTCATAAAATCCAGATTGCTCGCTTGCTGACGACTGGTTTGATTCTCAGCGTTGTAATGCTTCACTGGGAAGAATTGGACGAGCATGTTGTAAGCCATGTGCGCTCCTACTCTTACCGGTTAATGGTAAACAATTATAACTTCCTCAACTCTTCCTTCACCTATAGCGCTGATGGCCACCAAAGGAGTTTGGGGAATTCTTTAAACCCTTTGCCTTTGCATCCGTACCTCATCAGCCAATCAGATAAATGTAGCAACAGTAATAAAATCCTCTTGCTTTTGTTTGTCAAATCCCCTCCACAGAATGTTGATCGTCGGCACAATATCAGGCAAACGTGGGGAAAGGAGGGCAGTATTAGAGAAACATTGAACAGTAGCGTGAAAGTTATGTTTGTTCTCGGAGTGCACCCGAATTTGCAACAACAGCAAAATACTCAAAACCTTGTTGAAAATGAGAGCCGGATTTACGAAGACATCATCCAGCAGAACTTTCTGGATACATTTCATAACTTAACCACAAAGTTAATTATGCAGTTCCACTGGGCAACCAATTACTGCTCAAAAGCAAAATTTGTCATGTCTGCCGATGATGATATTTTTGTACACATGCCTAACATGGTCAGATATTTGAGGGGTAAGAATAAAAAGCAGGTGTCGAACTTCTGGGTGGGGCATGTCCACAGAGGTGCTCCTCCAATCAGGCGCAAAGAAAGCAAATATCACGTCCCGGTTGAGTTGTACCCGTGGCCTTCATACCCGGACTATACAGCAGGAGCTGGATATGTTGTCTCTGGTGATGTAGCTACAAAAATTCACCAAGTTACGCAAATATTGAACTCCTCTATGTACATCGATGACGTCTACATGGGCATGTGCGCACAAGTAATCGGAGTCACACCCCAGGATTACGCGTACTTTTCGGGTGAGGGCACAACAAGGTACCACCCGTGTGTTTATGCGCAAATGTTGACATCGCACGGACACGCAGACGACGTGAGAACATTGTGGAAAGAGGCGACAGACCCCAAAGTGGATAAAATGACCAAAGGAGTTCTGTCAAAGTTGTACTGTACTGCAGTGAAAGTGGTGCTGCTTTGCCTGCCACATCTCCGAGATACATACGGGTGCTCTGCAGCGTTTCTATAAAAACAAAACAGACTATCTCTTGTGTATTGTGCACAACACTGAAAGGTCAGAGGATATCACATGTAAAATGCAGGTCTTGGAATGTCATTGTTATGTGTGATGTGATATGGAGAATAAAATATGTTTATCTTTGATTCATTATGTTATTGAATGATATAAGAATTAACTGCAGTTTCTGCAGAGATCACATTGTCTCCCATAGAATGCCTCTTAGGAAGTTTGCGTAATTTCAATATGTGTCTTTACAATACCCTTCATTGTACTTTACAGGCCACCGCAGTCATGTCACAGTTGTATTGATATTTTTACCGAGTTGAATTTAATTGTAGGCACAGACTTTGATGATTTAGTTATTACAGATGATATTTTGATATACATATGGACAATGTTAATGACAGAAAAAATGCAAAAAAGAATGCAAAAAAATGCAGAAGAGTTCTGTACTTGAAACCTTTTGGTCTCACTGAGCACGTGAGTGGCCCCACCCACAGCAGGGGGGGCACTATAGACCTGCTAGTTACTAAGAGGGTGAATATTTCAAATGTGAATGTGGTCAATGTTGCTCTATTGGCAACTGTTCTACTGTTGACAAACTATGTTTTGAGTTCTGGACACCATTGCGCCTGTTAAGGCTGGTGGACTAAAAGCAAGCTCTGTCAGGGCACAGAAGAAAGAAAGCCCCAAGGGGCTCACATCCGTGAAATGTTGGTGCCATATGAACCAACTCGGATTCTGAGGAACACAGGGACTGGCTGCCTGCTGGTGCCCAGAGTCAGATTTATGCAGCTAAACAGTCTGCCTGAAAATGTGAAACAGGCTTCTTCTCTGACAATGTTCAAATCCAAGTTTAAATCAGTCCCATTTAGTTGTGCATACAACTGAGTGATTTTATATTTACTATTTTTAAATATATTTATGATTTTAATGCCTTATGTGATTGTTTCTTTTTTGTTCTGCACTTTGAGTTGCCTTGGATATGAACTGTGCTATACAAATAAATTTGCCTTGCATTAACTCACATCAACGTTTATATCTACTCAGCACAAAGTTCATATGGTCTGCACATTAACTTAACTGTAGACAATTGTGTCAGAAATTGAGATTGAGATAATCTATGAATGAACCTAAATAACTGGGGAGGATTACAAAACCAAAACAAAATATATCGAATACAAAAGAATTATTAATGCTGGTAAAAAAGAGGGGCAACACTAAGTAATCATACAAAGAATATTCTGCTATAGAATTGTCATAAACAATATTAGGGCTTGGAGATTCTTATCCATGTCTGAAGTCCTAACAGTTCAATGAACAAAGCAAGAGTGTTTGTTAGTGACCTCACCGACGTCGGTTGGACAGACTTTCCTCCGTCTCATTGGTCAGAACGAGTTGAGTGGACCCGCCCTGGCTGCCCTCGTGCATCACCTCAATCTACACATAGGGAAAAACATGGCATGACAGGATGGACTATAAAGGTAAGTGTTTGAGGGGAAGATCTGTAGATTTTGTTTTACTTAGATTGGAATCTTCATAGAAACGAGTGAGTGACAACATCAAACCAGTGTCTAATGTGAAAAAAGTGACCACCTGTGCTGTAGTTAAAATATGGGGCATTTTAGTGCATTTCCTTATCTCATTACACAGAGGGCTTTAAGGGAATGAGCTTAAATATATTGGAAAACAATCACAACCTTTTGTACAATCTAGAACAATTGAGTTACTCATGCTTTGATTTGACATTTGCCTCAAGTGAAAGATTATTTACTTTTTTTAGGGCTCAAAAAATCAGCTATATACAAAAAACAAATGCTTTAAACAGTCAACCAGAGATTTACAGTGTATATTGTATAATCTTTACTATAAGCTGCACCAAATAGCCGCAGGCTCCAATTTTTTAGAAAGAAACTGAATTTTGTACTTGTACAAGCCGCACATGATTATAAGCCGCACCTATCCCACGTTGTAATATAGACATTTTTTTTTGTCTTTTTCTTACTGTGAGTAATAAGAGTAAGAGTAACATGTGAGTTACTGTCTTCCGGTGTCAAGCAGAAAGATAAGGAGCAATATCTACTGGTCTCTCTTCACTTTAACGTCTATACAGAGAACAACAATTTTTCTTGCTTGCGATATTTACACAAAGATATTGGTTTTACCCTTTATTTAATCTGCTTGACTCACAAATCTCATCAATTCTGTTGGTTTACTGTTACTTGGCAAAATGTTTGTGGCGCCACAGAATAAAAAAATTAAGCTGCACCTTACTAAAAATGTTAGGTGCTATGTGACCGTGGAAAATGGACGACTGAGATAGGTGGGCCAGAGCATGCTTTGTAAAGCCCAGATGATGGGGGTCAGTGTGGCGGGTGGTGGAGAGTGGGGGATGAGGTGTGGTGGGGACTTGATATTGTCACATTACTTCTTCTGTAGTGAGGCGCATTTTCACACACGTCTCTCCTGCACTTTCGTATTCTCCGCTAGTGTTAAACCTTTAATATAAGCCCCTGGTCCGTGGTCAAGGGGCGCAGGGGAGTGAGTCGCTGCAGGGCCAAAGGGAAACGTTATCTACGGGGATAGCTCCCTTCTGTCTTGACCCTTGCTGTCACAGTGTGCTGCTATTGCAATAACACTTTAGAAATTCAAGAATCAGTCTTCATCGCTCGGCTCGTACACCACACCGGCGCGCTCCCGTGTCCACGGCGCACACACACACACACACACATTCTTGTGACCGCGAGCCGTTTTCACAACCATGTGGCGACGATCCGGGCCACTTGGCCTAGTTCGTTTGTAAAAACCTAAATGACCATGCCCTTATAGTCCGAAAAATACCATACACTAAGACTAATTAATCATAATTGGATTTGCTCAATTTACATTATTGCTTATGGAACATGTTTTTTCCAATAATCATTAACAAACAAATATTACATTAATATGATAATATACATAATGTTTGTAATATACCATAAGGGCTATACCTTGTTCCTTTAAACACACACATATAGTTGTTGGGAGCAGACTGCAGTTCAAGTGAGAGTGGAAACTTCCATCCATCCATCCATCCATCCATCCATCCATCCATCCATTTTCTTCCACTTTATCCGTTGCCGGGTCACGGGGGCAGCAGTCTAAGCAGAGACGCCCAGACATTCCCTATCCACATACACTTCCTCCAGCTCGTCCGGGGGGAACCTAAGGCGTTCCCAGGCCAGCTGGGAGACATAGTCCCTATCTTCCATTTCCTTATTCTATTTGTTTTTTTCCCGGTTTTGTTCTCCTGTGGGTTGATTCCTATTTATAAACCGTGAACTGCTTGAACATTGGAAAAAACAAAAAACGATATTCTTTGATGCCATAGTTCAAGGTTGAATCCTATTTGGATTTCCATTTATATGGCAGTCCCCAGTTTTCAGATAGAAAACGTGATGTGGTGCATTTGCGGAATCCTTTAAGTATTTTTTGATGTGACAAGTTAGAGAATCAAACAGGCAGCTTAATTTCTGCCAGTGTGTGGGGTAAATTAATAATTAAAGTGTAGCACTTTGAGAGGTTATGGCAAGCCTGTGAAGCATAGTATAAGTGCAAGATATAAGTACTACTCTATAGGATAAGCCCCGTGCACTATAACCCTTAAACTCTTCCAATCCACTGATTTTGAGCCAGTCATCATCTGCACTGTTATTAGTGTTCTAGAAATCCTGTAAGGAAATGCCATTGCAAATAAAGGCAACTAAGATACTAATATACTTAGTAAACAATACTTCAACTTCCAACAGCTCCAACGCCCAGTATAATAAACATGATATGAAAAAGTAATAAGTGCAATACAGCTAGTCTACCTTGGCATGTAATCAATTCTGAAATCAATATTTGTTCGGTGCGCCAGGTCAACTTTAGTGGAAATGGATAAGACGTCTTGAAATTGGCTGAAAAGGACAGAGCTCATTGGCCTACCAAACGCTATTGAATGTTCTTTTTTGAATTATAAATGATGAAAACACATCTACTAAACAATACATTATTTATTGCATACAAAAGGTGAGGAAATGTACAAAAATATGTTACCGAGCAGAATAAACATGTAACATCATATTTTTTCTGATCACAATCTATTGAACTACTGTGCCTTGGTGAGCCAAGTAGCATGTTGTATTTTTTGATATTTGGGGCGAATACAAGTGTCTACATTTACTTCAGTTGTTTTCTGCAGCTTGTTGCATAATAACAGAACACAGGCTCAGCATCTGCAGGTACTCGTCAGCTCCATCTGCCAAGCACTTATCCACCACCTGAAGAAGACATGTATACAATCAGTCAAGAGGCAAACCTTTCAGCACAGCATTGCAATTCTCTTTAGAACAACTAGAGGGCGATATTGTTGACAAAAATATGTTGTCATTTCCAGAAACGTTTCAGAATTATTCTGTACTGAGAAATAAAACAAAACATTTAATTAGTTTTGGATAGGGACGCAGCACATAATGAGTACCGTTTAGTTAAACTAAATGACTGCAAGATGACCAGAGAAGTTTGTGTACAAATGTGATACAGGTATTAATGCCTTACATACAAATGGTGCACAGATTAAAAATGGTAACTTGATATCTTTGACAGCAAACAGTCATACGTGTTCACTGGAAATTAACCTTAATTGGTTGTAGAATGCACTCTGCTCCTAAAAATCAATCAAGCAAATTTTATTCTGATATTTCCATTTCATAAAAACTAATTTGTTTGTAATTTAAAAAACTCAAAATAACTTTGTTCACTAACAATAAAACTAAACACAATAAAAGATTGTCAAAATTATGTAGTCAAGAGAAATTCGAGTCTGCTTACAGCCATCTTCTCTGTGATGGCAGACTTCTGCTTGTCACTGATGTCCTGATCTATAATGGCTTCATGGAGCTGACCTAGGATCTGTGAAGCAGCATAGCCCTCATCCACAGTGCTCTGTGAAGTGGAAATACATGTCAGTTTATTCTTCACTCTTAAAAAACAAAAGTACTTTTTTTTTTACTCACTTTGACGGCAACTTCTAGTTTCTCAAATGTTCCTTTGAAACAGATTTCCAGTAGGTTGTCAATTGTTTTTGTAGGAACCACCTTTTTTAAAAAAACAGAAAAAGAACACAGAATTATAGTAATCAGTACTTAATATTTAGCATTCATTTAGAAAGCATTTGCTTCAAAGCCTCACCCCTGCTATTTCGATGACTGCTTTTTCTGTTATCTCTTTGTCGGTGTTGAGGCGGGCAGCGCTCTGGAGGTATGTGATTGCCTTCCTCAAGTCTCCCTCGGACACTTTGACCAGGGCATCAATGCTCTGTGTAAAATATACCTTATTATTTTGGATTTGAATGAATGAAAAAACAAATACACATAACTGTTAACCTCAATGTAATGCTTGGCATAGTGATATACTGCATGTCTGCAATATATATCACTATATATGATCTAAGGCCCACATGGATCATAATGCAACATTTTTAACATTATAAATATCAACAATTATCTAAAAATATGTAAAAGTAATTAAACCAACCCCAAATGAAACAGTAACACCCGAATACCACCAGAGGGCAATAGTAGATTTCTCAACCACAAGAATGTCCCAAGTAAAAATACACAAACCTCATTAGTGTACTTCAAGTTCTCCTTTTCACAAACGTCCAGGAGTCTCTGATGTTGTATCTGATTGGCCAAAGGTTTGAATCGAAATTTTGAGCATCTGGATGTTAGTGGCTCAATAATCCTTCAGAGAAACATTACTTATTAGATACTTGCTTGCATTCAAAGTTCTTGTTTCTCCAGTTGTGTGACCCACCGGCTTATGTAGTTACAAATGAGGCAGAAGCGAGTGGTGCGACTCTCCTTCTCCATGGTTCTTCTGAGCGCAGCCTGAGCTGGAGCGGTCATGGAGTCTGCCTCGTCCAGAATAATGATCTTAAAGGGAGGACACGGCTTCCCGCTGAAGAACATTAATCAATCCATTTGTAACATTTAATTTTGTAGAAAAATAACGAACTTTAATATATATATAAAATATTAATTTCACTTTTTATTGTGTCACAATATTCCATATTAGATGTTAGTGTAGCGGTGGTGTGAATGATTATGGACATAATTTATCCCAATTTTAAACCTAGAACAGCCCGAATCCAGTCCAACAATCCATGCTGTCAGCCCCTGGACAAAGTCCAGTGAGCTAAAGTATTTTTTGACACCCCTGAACCAGTTCTCAATACAGTTCGGTTCTTTCACTAGTTTTTCACATTAATGTATTTGTCCCACTGTCACAACTTTAGATACGCTTTTTTCAATGATTCACTCAATTCAGTTGTAAAAGCCGCTACGCCAAAGGGAAACACGGCAATCTCCAGAGCCACATCCTGCAAAAGCACAAGGTACTTTATGCAGTGTTTTTACAACCTAAAACTCCACAGCCAACTCCGGTTAAAGAAAAGGCAAAACAAACAAGCATTCATGAAAGTTTTGCTTCTGACACAAAACTTGAACTCCAGCCATTACGTGATATAGCTAAGTGCACACTCTTCGTTAATACTGTGTGTATGGAATTGGCAACTTTAGGAAAGATTTGAGGTTAATATGTGTGCCATACTACATTTGAATGTAATGTTGTGCTTCATTTTTTCTATTGCAGTTCAATGCAGATTTGAATTAAGTGAAAATGCACCTAGAAAATGCTATAATATGGTTATCGAAATACTAAAAACCCGTATTTAATATAGCTCTAATTTCTAATATTGTGCAGCCCTAATAGTGATTTTATACAATATTTCTTGGCTGTTTTCTTAGTACATTATATATAATCACCTATTAATAGGTTAAAAAGTAAGAGTCAAACTTGGTACGAATAGTCCCACTTACTCTGACCGAGTTCCAGCGACTGTGAGCTGAGCAAAGTTCTTCACTTTCACGCGGACCACCTGGATCCCTCTCTCATCAGAGGCATTCAACTCCAGCACTCTCTGTTTGTACAACTCAGGACTGGACAATAAAAAAAAAAAAAAAACAGTATTTAAATTTGCACTAAAGGGAAAGGTAGAATTAAGAGTAATCAATTAATATGAATACGTTTTCCTACCCAAACAGTTCTCTCGCAGCAGCCAGGATAGTGGAGGTCTTTCCTGTTCCTGGAGGGCCGTAGAAGAGCAGGTTGGGGAGCTGCATGGGAAAGATGATATGAATTTTCTTTTTAAAAGATGAATCTCTAAAGTCAGAAAGCATTTTTGGGTCTTTCACACTAAGTCCCATAATTTATTGTTTTAATTATGGCACAAACACAACTGAAGAATGACCAATTGACCACCTCTGGCCGCAGGGGGTATTCTTTCGAGTGTCAATATCAACATGTTTACAAATCATTGACAACCAAAGTTTAATGATCTATACTGCTCCACATGCCTACATGGCCGCAAGCAGCAGCAAAGTTGCACCTCTGATGCGTTTCTCCACATTCTAATAATACATTTTCACATTTCATTTAGAACATTTGTTGACAGCTGTATTAGCATGTAGCGCATTTTTATTTCATTTGGAATGACAATCTGTGTTAGACGATATCCTGGAGGCTCAAGTATGACAACAAAAACAATTTTTTTAAAACCTTAACTCACATCTGCTCCTTCCAGCGACTTCTTCAGCACTGCAACCACCTCTTCCTGATAGGCCACCTCGTCCACACATTTTGGCCTACTAGATCACATATGAACACTTTGGATTAAAACAATACACAAATATCGTTAAACAAAAATACATAAATTACATTTTTTTTTTATTGACCAACCATCTGATTTATGCACTTTCATTGTATTTTCAATGACAAAGAACTTTATTATATATAATTAATGAAACTCCATTCAAAAGATTTTAACAACAGAAGATTGAAACTTAAAAGTATTTTGACAAAATATTCTGGCTTTTTAAAAAGTTTAATGGCTTGTGTTGTAGAGAGTTTTAAAAAATAAATAAAACCCTCTTTAGAAAAACTCGACTCGATGTTAACTTTTCAGTTCCTCTCAAACGTTCATGTTCAGGCAGTTGTTCAGTGTGCACTTAACATAATCCTATTTTAAACATGATGTTATTGCTGAATACTTACTATTTTTCCACCCAGGGCACTGCCCTTTGTTTCTTTTCTCCACTTGGTCCTGCAGTGATCTTCTCCTTCTGTAGTTTAGTGCTCTGAACAGAGGCTCCTTTTAAAAATGCGTGCATGTTGTTTTCAGCTCAAACAAGATCTACAGAGACCACACAAGGAAAACTGTTGTTGTAATTACAAAAGTATCAAAGAGTATCACCTTCAGGCAATAGTCGTTGTTGTACTTTTGCGAACTCCTTATTGATAAATTGTTTGGTTCACCACTTTATGTTTAACTTTTAAACACACTATTGTGCAATATATATTTAAATTCCAGCAGAAATCCAATGATTATACTACTCATCTTCACACCTCCCCTCAAGCCATTTTGAAAGGATAAATATACATAAATATTTTAACCTGTAAGCTGTCAGATGTCATAACACAAATGGCCCTATATGTGCCACGCTCGCACATATCATAATATATCTGAGACTGACCTGCCTGTAAACAAAGATATAACATGAAACCTGACAATAAAACCTACCAATAGCAGCTGTGTATATATATAATATATATATATATATATATATATATAAAAATAAAAAAACACTACTCACAGCGACAAACTACATGTGAAGTGAGTGATATTTTAACATATTGAACATTTTATTAGCAAGATTACCAACCCAAAATCTCACAATATAAATACACACAGCTAGCACTTGAAGCTACCGAGTTGTCCTTTGCTAACAACAACAGACTGTCTTACCTCCGCTTAAACCACACTACGCTTGTTTTTGAACGGCGTGCAAACACTATAACAATCCAGTCTTTTCTGTGATCCAGTGCAGGAAACTGTTGTATTCTCACAAAGCATATGGCGATAATTTGACAGTTCTGTTGCTTCGAAAAGAAAAAGATCAGCGAACACGACTTTCCCCTTTCCCGCTCTGGCTGCACACACTTCCGTAAACGACAAAAGGCAGCAGCCAATCAGAGCTCAGATGCCGTGGACCGCATCCTAATTATGGATATTAGATCCTAATGCAGAGGGAAAAAAACTTCTTCATTTTGCCTAATTGTTCTCCTTGTGCGCCAGGATTGGTCAAATTAAATAAAATCCCCAAGAAAAAACAAAAAGATCATACAAAAATGAGAAGGAAAAGCAACGCATATGGTTGGTTCCAGCTTCTTCTTCAGTGACGCTTTTACGTCACTCCACGCTTCCCTTAAACTAGCATGCACTTTATTTTGACATGTTGGATAGTTTGACACTCTGATAACTAAATCCATTATCTTCTAAATCCATTATCTGCTATCTTGACAAGGCAAGGTAAGTCGTTTTGCATAGCACAGTTCAAAGGCAAGGTAAGTTTATTTGTATAGCACAGTTCATACACAAGGCAACTCAAAACAAAAGATGGAAACACTAGAATCCCACATAAATAATCACAGTATATTAAACAGAGGGAAGATACAATCCGTCAGTTTATGAACAGCTAAACAGAAATGTTTTTAACCTGGATTTGAACATTACCTGCAAACATCTGAAACACTGCCTCCCCATGTTTAGTCCTGACTCTGGGCACCAGCAGGATGCCAGTCCTTGTGCTCTGTCTGAGTTGGTTCATATAGGTTAATATTTATAGTCTATGTTCATATGGCAATAACATGTCACGTCATCACTTACTTTGTAGTGTTTTTTAGCATCTTTAATATTGCCATATTATGATTGTTAAACATAAGATTTAGTAGCCTATACATTTATTTCAGTATAAAACATTAATAAATGTATGCATAGACAGCACGACAATGAGAACCGTGACGTCGCCCGGCATGGCGCAGCCGGGGCCCCACCCTGGAGCCAGGCCTGGGGTCGGGGCTCGCAAGCGAGCGCCTGGTGGCCGGGCCTTAGCCCACGGGGCCCGGCCGGGCTCAGCCCGAAGGGATGACGTGGGCAGTCCCTCCTGTGGGCCCACCACCTGCAGAGGGGTCCGTGGTGGCGAGGTGCAGAGAGGACTGGGCAGCAGTCGAAGGCGGAGACCTCGGCGACCCAGTCCGCACACCCAACATCTGGCTCTTGGGACGTGGAACGTCACCTCACTGGGGGGGAAGGAGCCTGAGCTTGTGGGGGAGGTTGAGCGATACCGACTAGAGATAGTCGGCCTCACCTCCACACACAGCTTGGGTTCTGGAACCCAACTCCTTGAGAGGGGTTGGACGCTCCACTTTTCTGGTGTTTCCCGCGGGGAGAGGCGGCGAGCTGGGGTGGCCATACTCATTGCCCCCCATCTCAGCCGCCACGTGTTGGAGTTCTCCCCGGTGAATGAGAGGGTCGCGTCCCTCCGCCTCCGGGTGGGGGACAAGTCTCTCACTGTTGTGACGGCCTACGGGCCTAACGGTAGTGCAGAGTACCCGGCCTTCTTGGAGTCCTTGGGAGGGGTACTGGACAGTGCACCGCCCGGGGACTCCGTTATTCTCCTGGGGGACTTCAACGCCCATGTGGGAAATGCCAGTGACACTTGGAGAGGGGTGATCGGGAAGAACGGCCCCCCTGATCTGAACCCGAGCGGTGTTCAGTTGTTGGACTTCTGTGCCAGTCACGGCCTGTCCATCACGAACACCATGTTCGAGCACAAGGGTGTCCATCAGTGCACGTAGCACCAGGACACCCTAGGCCGGAGGTCGATGATCGACTTTGTAGTCGTATCATCTGACCTTCGACCGCGTGTTTCGGACACTCGGGTGAAGAGAGGGGCGGAGCTGTCAACCGATCATCACCTGGTCGTGAGTTGGATCCGCTGGCAGGGCAGGAGGCCGGTCAGACCTGGCAGGCCCAAGCGTGTAGTGAGGGTTTGCTGGGAACGTCTTGCTGAGCCCCCTGTCAGACGGACTTTCAACTCACACCTCCGGGAGAGCTTCTCCCAGGTCCCGGCAGAGGAGGGGGACATCGAGTCCGAGTGGACCATGTTCTCTTCCTCTATCGCCAATGCAGCGGCTCGTAGCTGTGGTCGCAAGGTCTCTGGTGCTGGTCCCGGCGGCAACCCCCGAACCCGGTGGTGGACACCGGCAGTAAGGGATGCCGTCAGCAGTGTTGCCAACTCCTCAGTAAGGAAAGTAGCTATTGGCTGTCCCAAAAGTCGCTAGAAGTCGCTAAATGACGTCATCGCCTAATTTGCATAATTTGCCATTTGCAAATAACTGTAACGGACGCTGTAGGAGAGAGGAATAAGGTCGTGGGAGAGACAAAAGTGAGTAAAAACACCCTAAATATGTTTAGAACTACAAATGTACAAAAATAATTTCAACATTAACAACATTTAATGATTTTAATGCTTTGTCTAGATCCACATTACACACATCAGTTTTGTCCTGTATTGTTAAATGTTATAACAGCAAATGTAATCAAAAGATTGTTATGTAGGGTGAAATTGCTAGCTCTACAACCAACCCTCCTCCTTTATCCGGGCTTGGGACCGGCAAAGTGACCCAAAAGACACACTCTGGCAGAGTTACTTAGGTTTATTTTAGTAAGTTTTTTTTTTTTTTTCATAGTTTGGCATAACAAATGATTTAATGTGACCCACTACTGAGAGAAAACAGAGTCACGGACAGAGCTGCCGCGGATGGAGTGGGGGGTAGTGGGGGGTGGCGGTGGTAGGAGTGGCCGGGGAGCTTTGGATGTGTGGTGGTGGTGGAGCTGAAGTTCAGTCTGCAGCAGCCTGAAAACTTCCTGTGCTTTTGAGTCTCCTCTCTCTCTCTCTGCTCCGCCCATAGACTGTAGCTGGGACTGCTGCGCAAGGCTACTGTGAGACTGGCCGCCTGTAAGTGCTTTGGGACGGGGGAGGGGCTCACGTTGAGGACAGCAGAACAATACGTGCTTCACGAGTCTCCAAAACACCAGATAAGTCGCCAAAACACCAGATAAGTCGCCAATAACACCAGAAAAAGTCGCTAGATTTGTCGCTAGTCGCTTTTTTGAAAAAAAGTCGCTATAGGGGTCTGAAAAGTCGCTAAATCTAGCGACAAAGTCGCTAAGTTGGCAACACTGCTGAAAACTTCCTGTGCTTTTGAGTCTCCTCTCTCTCTCTCTGCTCCGCCCATAGACTGTAGCTGGGACTGCTGCGCAAGGCTACTGTGAGACTGGCCGCCTGTAAGTGCTTTGGGACGGGGGAGGGGCTCACGTTGAGGACAGCAGAACAATACGTGCTTCACGAGTCTCCAAAACACCAGATAAGTCGCCAAAACACCAGATAAGTCGCCAATAACACCAGAAAAAGTCGCTAGATTTGTCGCTAGTCGCTTTTTTGAAAAAAAGTCGCTATAGGGGTCTGAAAAGTCGCTAAATGTAGCGACAAAGTCGCTAAGTTGGCAACACTGGCCGTCAGGCTGAAGAAGGAGTCCTATCGAGCAATGATGGTTCGTGGGTCTCCTGAGGCAGCTGTCCAGTACCGGCAGGCCAAACGTGCCGCGGCCCGGGCTGTTGCAGAGGCAAAAACCCGGGACTGGGAGGAGTTCGGAGAGTCCATGGAGCATGACTATCGGTCGGCCTCGAAGAGGTTCTGGCAAACCGTCCGGCGCCTCAGGAGGGGGAAGCAGTTCTTTGCCAACACCGTGTATGGTGCGGGTGGAGGGCTGCTGACCTCGACTGGGGATATTGTCGGGCGGTGGAAGGAATACTTCGAGGTTCTCCTCAATCCCCCCGTCACGTCCTCCGTCCAAGAGGCAGAGGCTGAGGATGTTGGGGCGGATACTTCTGTGATGGGACACAAGTGCGTTTTGTTTTATTTATGCATGCTGAGTGTTTTTACTGCTATGGTTTTCAATTGCTGTTGTGAGTTTTATTGTTTTGCTGTGATTTCAAGCGCATGCTTTTAGACTGTTTAATTGGTTGCCCTCACGACAACGCACACCCCACCCCTGATGAGGATGGACCAGGACACCTGCGGGTGCAATCACCGTGAATATAATCACCTGGGGAGCACAGCAAAAAGAGATTGGGACCGCGCAGACAGGAGACGCGACACCGGGGAGCGGACGCGCAGCGAGGGGAGGCGAGCCCGGAAGGAGAGGCCAGCACCATGGCACCCACGCTCTGGACCCCCGCACCACTACGAGAACTACACAGAGGCAGGGCATTTGGACCCTGCCCTGCCGGTGAGTTTTGTTCTGGTGTAGACGTGGTGTATGGAAGCCTTGGGCTGAAGGGGGGATCCTGGGTGCTGTGCGTGGCTGGCCCGTGTGTGTGCTGTGCGACAGGGCTGGAGCTCGCCGCTGGACCCGGGCGCCCCGTAGGAGGGGAGTGAGGCGGCGCAGCGTTCGGGCTGGGAAGAGAGGCGAGGGACCGGAGGCAGCGAGCACCACCAGCGAACAAGTCAGAGGATGCAGCGGGAGAGCGGGGAGCTCTCCCTGTCCGTGAGTACCGCTCAACCGCTCTAGCTCCCGCTGCATCAAGCGGCCTCAGGCCTGGGCTTGATGGTGGGTGTGAGCGGGAGAGCTGGCCCTCTGCCTCTCTGTTGCAGGTACGACGCCAGCAGCTGCGCGCGCGGAACCCCCCCCCTGATGCCGTGGGAGTGCTGCCCTTCTCCATCTTCCGGGCGAGAGGACCGGGCCCTTTGGACCGCCATCATTTTATCATTTTATCGTTTTAATTCTTTTTTAATTACTATTTTATCTATTTTATATTGTATTAAACATGATTTTAATTCATTTTAACTTCTGGTTTTATTGGAAACACCCAGCTCTTTTAATCCATAAATTATTTTATTCGGCACCTTTTTCTGGCAGTTTTTAATCTACCTTTTTAATGTCAATACCTCAAAAACCCCCCCACTATCACACTTCCATCTCCCTGGCCGAGGTCACACTCTACAAGAAGGGGGACCGGAGGGTGTGTTCCAATTATCGTGGGATCACACTCCTCAGCCTCCCCGGTAAGGTCTACTCCAAGGTACTGGAGAGGAGGCTACGTCCGATGGTCGAATCTCGGATTCAGGAGGAGCAGTGTGGTTTTCGTCCCGGTCGCGGAACACTGGACCAGCTCTATACTCTCCATCGGATACTCGAGGGTTCATGGGAGTTCGCCCAACCTGTCCACATGTGCTTTGTGGATTTGGAGAAGGCGTTCGACCGTGTTCCCCGGGGTGTCCTTTGGGGGGTCCTCCGGGAGTACGGGGTCCGGGGTCCTCTGCTGAGGGCTGTTCGGTCCCTGTATGACCCTGTGTCCGCATTGCCGGCAGTAAGTCAGACCTGTTCCCTGTGCATGTTGGCCTCCGCCAAGGCTGCCCTTTATCACCGGTTCTGTTCACTGTATTTATGGACAGAATCTCTAGGCGCAGCCAGGGGCCGGAGGGGGTCCGGTTCGGGAACCACAGGATTTCATCTCTACTTTTTGCGGATGATGTCGTCCTGCTGGCTCCAACGAACCAGGACCTGCAGCATGCACTGGGACGGTTTGCAGCCGAGTGTGAAGCGGCTGGGATGAGAATCAGCACCTCCAAATCCGAGGCCATGGTGCTTGACCGGAAAAAGGTGCCTTGCCCTCTTCAGGTGGGTGGAGAGGTCCTTCCTCAAGTGGAGGAGTTCAAGTATCTCGGGGTCTTGTTCACGAGTGAGGGGAGGATGGAGCGTGAGATTGACCGGCGGATCGGTGCAGCGTGCGCAGTGATGCGGTCTCTGTATCGGACCGTTGTGGTAAAGAGGGAGCTGAGCCGAAAGGCAAAGCTTTCGATTTACCGGTCAATCTTCGTTCCCTCCCTCACCTATGGTCATGAGCTGTGGGTAATGACCGAAAGAACGAGATCGCGGATACAAGCGGTCGAAATGAGCTTCCTCCGCAGAGTGGCTGGGCGCTCCCTTAGAGATAGGGTGAGGAGCTCAGTCACACGGGAGGAGCTCGGAGTAGAGCCGCTGCTTCTCCACGTCGAGAGGAACCAGTTGAGGTGGCTCGGGCATCTGTTCAGGGTGCCTCCTGGATGCCTTCCTGGGGAGGTGTTCCGGGCACGTCCCACCGGGAGGAGGCCCCGGGGAAGACCCAGGACACGCTGGAGGGACTGTCTCTCAGCTGGCCTGGAAACGCCTTGGGGTCCCCCCGGACGAGCTGGAGGAGGTGTGTGTGGATAGGGAAGTCTGGGCGTCTCTGCTTAGACTGCTGCCCCCGCAACCCGGCAACGGATAAAGCGGAAGAAAATGGATGGATGGATGGATGGACATTAACATTTCTTGTTTACCTTTGCATTCAACAAATTGAGATTATATTTATTAAACGATAATATCATGTTAACAAGATACATCTCAACTTCACAGCTCTCCTTTTCTTATGAGAAAATGTATTATGGAGCAGGGCTCAGAAAAATATTCCTCTTCCACAATACACATACACATTACTCTCATATTTTTAGAAGAGAAATATTAACATAGTGCTCTACAATCTGCAGCTGCCTCTATGGCGCGGCGGTGTCTTCATGTGGCTGTAATTGCCTGCAAAGCGGAGATAAAGTGAGCAAGAGCACAGATGTCCAATGTGCGCATCCTCATCTGACAGTGTCCCAGGCCGACTCCCAGGGGCCACAGTGCACTCACGGGACAGAGAGGAGAGCAAAGGGAGGAGGGCGACCCATGCTCCGTCTAGATTGCAGTTTCAAAACACGGCCCGGCATCAGCCTTGCAAGGAGGAGAAGGGAGGTGCAAGGGTGGGGAGAGAGTGAGGCTTTTTGAACTACCGGCAGTCTGTTTCACTGTCCAGTTTCTATTGTTAATCAAAAGGAACCACCCAAGCCCCCTTGATTGCATTCACACAGCAGAAATTGCTCAAACTGGATTTCACATTGAAATATCGAGGTTGGATGGGAAAACAAAACAATAATCCTAGAAAAACAATAAGTCTGGTTCTTTAAAATGTATCAGACTTATGTTTTGCGTTTTTTGGGCACTCGCTGCTTCAAATGACAGTATGGCTTCGATTTTTACATTGGGTGTCAAACATGCTGATAAGCCTTGAGAGAAAGAGGGTGATTTTAGCGACTCTGGCATGTTTGATTCTATGGTAGAACATTTAAAGTTGCAATTTGCAATGTTCAAATAAACAATCAATAATTGGCCTATCAATATACAATATAATTTTCTCTTCTCTTTGGTCCAATCAAACCATACCTGAACTCACTTTGATCAGAAAAAAGATTATTCATATTTATGTTATATCTTTGGTCAAATTAACTAAAATAAAACAGAATATTGAGCATAATGAATATAAGATGGAACTTATGGTATGCAATAGACTATGATTTAGATACAGCTATTGTATATAGATATCTACAGTCATAAACTGCATATTTCACATGCATTACCAATTATGTGATTCCTTTGTGATCCAGCCTCCATGGTTTTCTCTACACCCCTCCCCCCTTGCCTCCCTTGCTCCCCCTGTGCCTCTGGCAGGTACAAGGCTGCTTTGTGATTGGACGAAACCATCTGTGACTCAGCTGCTTCATCACGGTCTTCATCACACGACGCACCTCTCTGGAACGGACACCCCATGCTGGAAATTACTGCTCTTCTTTCTTCCTGGACTGTTATTATTATTGTATTTAATCACAGAGAGAAGTGCAATGGAGGAAGAAAGCAAAGCAATGAGAATGGGCAAAAATTGTTTTATTTTGGATTATTTCATAACAATGTAAGTACTGTAGCTATTGTGTCTGTGTTGATGTATGGTTCCATATGACGTAGCAAATTGCCTTTTTTTTTAAAACAAAACAAATGCTTGCATAAGAGTGTTATATTTTTGGCAGCTTCACTTTTGGGGGGAGCATCAGGTTTTCAGTTTTTAATAGTTAGATATAAACTGTTTGGTAAATTATTACAGCAAAATTGGCTATGAAACAGTTTAGGATGTATATTTGTAATTTTGTTTTGGCTTTCTATATGTAGGAGGGAGTTCATTGAGTTTTGAACAATAGTTTTGTGTTTTAAGAACTGCTCATATGTGTATGCTTTATTGATGCATGGGGGAAAATATATTAATTGTACCTCATTATTATAAAAATATGTTAACTCTGAGGAAAACAGTGAAAGTATGATATGCATCCAATGCCTATGGATCTAAATCATCCACTGCAATTAATTGGTTAATTTTGTGTACTAATAGGTAATTGCATAGGTACACATATACCGATAAGCCTTGTCATTTACAAAAGCGAACAAATACAAGCGTTTACAATTGATCAATAATACACAATATACTTTCATATGTGCTGAAACTAATATCGGCATGTCGTACGTTATCCCAATAGACTCGTCTGAACCAGGAAGCCACCTCTACACTAAAACAAGGAAGAACACACCACCAGCTCACCATAATCAGCCGCTGCTCTTTGGGGGTGTGTCTTGTGTGAGAGTTGGGCGGGTTTGTCGGAGGAGAGAGAGGGGGGCTGTTCCACGGATGCGGTCTCCTCCCTGCTCCTGAGATGCTGCTGTGGCTTCGGCAGGACGAGATGTCGGTCCAAGAGCTGCTGCAGAGGGTCCAGTGTGTCATCACTCATGTCGGTGAGTAGAAAAATCTATAATTGTGCTGCAAACAAGAGGGAAAGAGCCATAAGGATGCTGGGATTTTTTTTTAACAGAGAGAGGGTTTTAAGGAGAAAAGAGGAGTGTGTGAGTGTGTGTGGAAAGATGGAGGCTAGTAATCTCCTGGTCCCAGAGATGTAACTGGAATGAATGCAATGTATGGACTGGGTGGGATAAATGTGTTTATTATATTAACCTAGCTGGTGACAATGCTAACAGGATTGCGGAATCTTGTCTTGAAAATTACAATTATATTCAGGATACAGTTTTAAAGTTCCGATTGTGGAATTCTTTGGCTGTGTTTGTAATTCCTGTTTACACATTTTTGGACAGTTTTTATAGTCTATAATGTGACTTTTGATGAGAATTCTTGCACATGAATGATGACATTTGAGCAAAGTAAATTTCTATTCTAAGATGCTTCAAAAATACATGATGTCTGTATTTCTGTTTCATGTGTATTTTTGAATTGCAATATTTCAGCAATAGTGTAGCTATTTAGATTATATTTATCCTAACTAGACTCGTTAAATCTAGGCTTTGTGAAATCAAACTGACCAACAAGAGTGATCTATTTGAGTTTGATCACTTTTACCATTTTTATTGTCTATTTATCAGCTTTAACTCACCATATTAGCTGCCAAAAGTATTGATCTTTCCACCAGGTGTAAGTGTTTTTGATAATGTAGTGTGTATTGTTGGTGGTTAAGTCGCTTCTATCAATGAGAGCAAAATGTAAGTGCAGAGAGGTGTGTTCTATCGTGTGGGAGGTGGAGGGTCTCTGTGGATACAGGAGGATGCTATGGAGAGAGGCTAATGGTTGTGCTGCATGGTGGCTGTGTACTTAAAGCACTGAAATGCTGAGCTATCTGAGCATAATTTGGATTTAAAACCATTTGAAGAAATAAAATGATGTAGGTTTATAATATGCAACAGAACAAGTTATGTATCTAATTTGTAGAACAGCAGTCTGATTCGTCTATCATAAAGATCTTATAGCCAGATCTTATCTGCAGCACTTTTAACACAGTTTGTAATTTTTGAATACATCTTTTCCTATTTTTGCTTGGCAATGGTAAGTCAGTCTATTGACATAAAACAAACATGAACTTTGTGAAATTATGTTGATTTCTTTGCTCAATAAGCAAGAAATCAACACAGATATGGTAGTAATGATTTCTACTACAAATGATCTATTAACGTATTTAGCTTTATACCTATGGAATAGACTTTGATTGCTCACGCAAATCCATTAAGGATATTGGACTGATGTGCAGCATTTTTCTACCAGCAGGATTCATCAAAAGAAGACATGATTATGTTATATCTAAAATGACTTAATTTCTGTTTGTTTTGACACCTTCTTCCTGTATTTCTTTACCAATCCAGGACTTTTGAATTATAGATTTGTCTTGGCATTAAGACCATTGGACTTAAGTCTATTTTGTCAATGTTGTGTTATCCCTGGGAATAGACGAGACATACATATCCCATTTGTCAATTGGTGTTTTAAATCAATGTTATTAAGTTCTAAGTAGGTGCCTTGATCTTGCCTTTGCTGACATGGACAAAACAGGACGATTCTAGGATCAATGCTTTGAGATATGCAGTTTTAATCTTTATAACTAAAGATAATAAAAACATGCCCTTTTTTCAGATATTTTGTAAGATTTTCAAAGTATGGTTTGAAAAAAAGGTTTGTTCCGATTGGCATCTCATCCCATACGGTGATACCGGTCCAATGAAAAATAACACGATTTAAGTGTGAATTTATTTAATACTAGTAATAGACATTGGAAATGATCTAGTCACTCTTAAATGTACTTGAATTCAGGTTATTATTCCAGGAAATGGATTACATTATTATGTGTGCATTCCCCGCCAACACCGCAGATCATCTCGTCTTTCTCATCTACCCACCGAATTTCAGCTCAATCCATCCAGTAGTTTTTGTGCTTTACTGCCCACAAGACACACGCATACTCAGGGACAGTGATACCAATGTATTTAACCTTTAACCTGGCATGCTAGGTAGATCAGAAATTGCATTAAATTGTCTTGCAACTTGAAATTCTAAAACTTTATCACTTTTATCTCCATCTAATTCAACTTCAGCAAAATATTGTATATTCACCATCACTCCACCACTATTCACAATGGTAAAAAATAAAATACATTTTTTAATGAATTGAGTTGCAAAACTCCTGCAGCCTGGTGATATAGTATATTTCATATTTTTTTCCTCCTTCATTTCAATCCATACTGAATTGTTTGACCCAAAATTGTGATGCAGTGTCCCCCTTCCATGTGCACTTCCTCCTTCACTTCTTCCTCTTCCTGGAAGTGGGTTAATATGCCACGCTGAAGACGAGGGCGCCGTGCCTTTCACTTATATGCGGCGAGACTAGAGGGGGTGTGTCGCCATGGAAACTGAGCTCATCTTCCACCAATAAGAACAACAGTAATTCATTTATCGGCAGCGGGAATGGCATCTGCAGCGTCAGCGGCTCTACAGAGCATGTGAAGGGGAAACAGTGTTGGAAGCAGTGTATAGATTATACTATTGTTTAATGATTTAGGAGAAACATTTACTACAGTACAATTAAAACACAAGTGATTATAAACATTATAATTTCATTTGCAATTTCTGTTTAGAATATGCCAAAGTTCACATGGACAATTAATTGATTAACTGAATCATAAGTATTCAACTTATTATAATATATGACTGTGTTAAAATTATAATCTAGTTTCTCACTATAAATGATGATTCAAATCATGATTACCAATATTTATCAAGCAATGACTGTGTAAATGTATTTAAAGGAAATGATGTCCACAAACTAAGATACAAATTACAATTCTTGCAGCCCCAGTTCTGACTTTGTTGATGAAAATTATGACCAATGTATCATTATTTAAGTGGGAAATAAAAAAAACAACTTGCATATGATAAAATAAAATATACATATGGTCTATTTACACAAAAATCAGCCTTTACATTGAACTGTATCTGAGATTTAAACATTTTGTATTTACTGACTCAAGAATGTAACTGCATGGTAATCACATGGATCTATCTGAAGGACACTGAGACATTTTGAGTCAACCCAGAATAATAAGTAACGTACATACACATGTTTTGTTTGTTTTAGTCAATTAAACTGTCTATTGAGGGGCTCTAGTCCATTGTTTTTTTCTTTTTTTGAATATTTGCAGCATTTGTCCAGCAGGGAGCTCACTTGTAATATTTTGGGATCACAGCCGTAGTTTGTTATACTATTTCAAATTAAACTGACATTAAAACACATTACAGTTCATACACTCTCACTAAGTATACAAGTACGGTTAGTGTGAAAATGGATCCTTTAAACATGGAGTAGTGATTTGTCTCCTTTAGTTAGTGTTATAATGTTATAATGATAAAAAAATGACATAATTACAAGTACACAAGCTTCTTATTTTTGTAAGTTATGTTCATTAAATATTGCAAGATGATATGACACAAAATCCCACAAAGCAGTACTGAAGTGATGTCATCCTGAGTCATCCTCATATCCTCCAGACTGATTTCACCTTGTATACATACAGTACATAATAATGAACAGCATTTTTGGACACATGTCATTATTCTTTCACTCCAAACACAGTGGAGATAAACTACCATTGCAGCCACAGCCGCCCTGGGTCACTCTGACAGAACAGAGGCAACCAGTATGTGCCATCAGCTCCTCTGACCACCACCAACCATTCACACACACACACCGGACTCCGTCTAGGCAATGTGGGTCAAGTGTCTTGCTTAAAGAACCAACCAATTTTTGACATTTTACAGCCGCACCACTAAACCTGGTGAACCTGGTGTACCCAGAGGTCTCCCATTGCTGTACTAACTAGGCCCTAACTAACTAGGCCCTGCCCTGCTTAGCTTCAGAGGTCTGACAGGATCTGGCTTTCACATACAGGGGGCGCTGCTTACATATGGAAGCAAATTCTAAGAATTTTAGAATATTTTACATGTGGAACAAGCAGAATGGTGTAACTCTTTGGGTTCACTTGTGATTACCATTCTTTTTACCAAAGCAGCTACATGAAAAGCACTGATGCCTCACAACAAGAAGCCCCAGTCTTTCCATGTGGAGTTTGCATTTTTCTCCCCATGTCTGGGCCTCGGTACTCCAGTTTTTCCCCAAAACCCAAAACATACAGCAACATGAAATTGAATCTGCGTTTCTTCCATCACCATAAAGCATAGATTCCTTAGAGAGAAAGAAGAGTGACCTCAGTGTAGCACTTCAACAAGCATGATAAGCACTCTACACATATAAAATATACCATTTACCAGACTAAGTTGCTTCAATTTGACTGTTTCTGAAAAGATAAGGCAACATGAAGTATAGAAGACAAAAATAGCGGTAGTGATGTCACCCTGAGTCATCTCCGCATCCTCTCATTGGTCACACAGACGTGGTCCCTGCAGCGTATTCCCCCTATCAAATTTCTACTGAAGACGAGGACATCCCATAGAATCCTGCATTTACCTATCCTGTTTTCCTTGTATATTTACGGGTAGCGCATACACACCCACTCAGTCATCACATAATCTTTATTCAATAGAAATCCAAAGTTCAAATGTAAGGTCACTCAGCTTTGATAGAAAGGCCACAACAATGAAAGAGACTTGAGTGTTATCACCGGACACCGCAGCGAAGGGGCAAGGTGCGGCCATTTTGATCTGGTTCGTCCGATGCATTATTGATGTGTGGAAGGGAGAGAGAAAGAAGGAAAAATAGAGCGAGATAAAGAGGTTACGGTAAATCACACAGCTGCTGGCGCTGTGATGTCACCGCCTCTACAGAAGAACCTGCTTGAGTCATGAGAAGAGGGATTATGGGTAATGAGAAATAACAGGGATGCAAGTAAGGTGTGAGGGAAAACATATGCCCATCATTATTAAATACAGTAAATCCAAGTTTACAGATACACCATTTGCTAAATGAACAGCTTATTTAGTTTTGAAATCAACTATATTTTAACTGGCAGCGCATATAAGAAACTTATGATGCATTTCTGAGTTATTTCTGGGTTAATAAGCAGAATGGGGTTACTACATACATTTCAAAGCAAGAAAGTTCTGTTTGAAAGTTTTGTGTGGAGTTTGCATGTTCTGGCCGTGTCTGTGTAGGTTTCTTGCAGGTGCTTCGGATTCCCTAAAACATTTACAATAGTTCAGGTTGCATGAGTGTGTTTGTAAATTATCCCAATGATACAATCTGGTATATTTGCAGCACTGCTCTTCAATACACACAGTCCCAACAACAACAAAAAAACACCAAATACATTCATCAATCAATCATTGTTTTGTTTATTTTTTAAGATCCCCATTAGCCACTGAGGTACAGTGCGCAGAAATGTTCCCACTCTAGAACGATTACAAGATCTCTTAATCTTATTCTTGTAGTTTATAAAACGACAAAACTTGTTAATTTTAATGAAACTAAATGTGGTTTTCTCTGCAATACAGTAGACCATGTGCTTCAATACTGAGGCGGGAGGAGTTAAACACATTCTATTTTTAAGAAGAGTTGTGAAAAGCACCATTCTGTCTGCCACTTTTCACAATTAGCTTCTACAAAAGAAAGCATTTACCAACCACCAATAATCTTTTCTTTTTTCCTTGATTCAGGTTTAAACAGATATTTTGTCCTCCCTGTGAATTGTTAAATGCCCGCCTTGGACTGTATAAGAATGGACAGTGCTTATCTGCTAGCTTGGTGAAGCCCAATAGGGAAGTACAAAGCTTTGTTCCTACTCATTTACATTGAAAAGTAGACATCCCCTGTAACCGCTTGTATCACACCATTTTCTGTTTTATAATTTGTGGTTTAACACTGTATATTCCTGGTGTTTTTATGTTGATAATGTCTCTGTAAATCCAGATATGACCCTTAATAAGTTACCAATCAGGGGGTTTCTATCCTCACATTCAGTTTCAGTTAGCGAGTGGGCGAGTGTGACCTGAATTACTCTTGATTGGCTCTTTGGTTGCTAGGTAGTATCTCTCCAAGAATTTGTCTTCAGATTCCCGCGCATTGAGCCTCTTTGAATGTCAGCACTCGTTCACCCACTTCGTTTTCCAATCATTTTTTATTCCTTGTTCTATCTAGTACCACAGAAGAATACATTGAGACCATACTTGCTTCATCCACATTGCCTAGAATGACTTTGGTGTGTGTGTGAATGGTTGGTGGTGATCAGAGGGGCCGATGGCACATACTGGTTGCCTCGCTTCTGTCAGTGTGCCCCATGGCAGCTGTGGCTACAGTAGGTGTAAAAGGAGTGAAAGGATAATGACAAGTAAAGTGTCTTTGAGTGTCCTAAAAGTGCTGTATAAAAATGTATATTTAATTGCAGAAAAAAAAATCCTGCATACAATTTTAAAATGCATTGTTAAATATGTTTTGACATGTGAGATTTTTTGACTAAATTATTACCCTCTTACTGTAATCAGAATCAGAATCATTTTTATTGCCACGTAAGTAACAGGAGGTCACAGACTAGGAAATTGCTTTGGCTCAGTGCAACAGTCAAAAAGAGATAATAAAAATAAGAATAAAAAACACTTCTAAAGAATAAATTTAGATTTAAAATAGAGTTACAGTTACTATTTACAATATACAAGTGCACATGGTGCACACAATGTAAGGTGACAGCGGTACAGTGAAGTAAAGTGACGTATGATGGGCAGTAAAGTGACTTTATAAAGGGCGGGGGGACAGGTTAAGAAGTGTTCAAGAGTCCAACAGCAGAGGGGAAGAAACTGTTCTTGTGGCGGGAAGTTCTAGTCCTGGTGGACCGCAGCCTCCTGCCTGAGGGGAGTGGTTGGAATAGTCCATGTGCAGGGTGAGAGGGGTCGGCTGTGATTCGACCAGCCCGGCCTCGAGCTCGGGCGACGTACAGGTCCTGCAGCGATGGAAGGCTGCGGCCGATCACTTCCCCTGCAGAGCGCACAATGCACTGTAGTCTCTGTTTGTCCCTGACTGTGGCTCCAGCGAACCACACGGTGACGGAGGAGGTGAGGATGGATTCGATGATGGCCGTGTAGAACTGCACCAACATCTGTGCAGGCAGCTTGGCTTTCCTGAGCTGCCGCAGGAAGTACATCCTCTGCTGGGCCTTCTTGATGAGGGAGCTGATGGTCGGCTCCCACTTGAGGTCCTGGGTGATGGTGGTGCCCAGGAAACGGAAGGACTCCACAGAGGTGATGGGGGAGTCCATCACGGAGGGTGGGGGTGGGGGGACAGTGCTCTTCCTGAAGTCCACAATCATCTCCACTGTCTTCTGGGCGTTCA